TGCTGTATCGGCTTCCAGGAGACGTGCTTCCCTCAGCTTCCGCAGCTCGGGGCTTCACTATTTCAGAAAGTTCCATGGTCAGGATTTTCGGATTCAGGCAGATAGCGCTACCTGTTCACACTGATACCACCACCAGTCATAGTCAGTATGATCAGCGAACAGTTCCTACCTAGTAGCAGAAAACACTACAATAGCATCCTAATTCCGCGGAACGAATATATTTACAACAAAACGCAAGAGTTCCCAATGAGATCGTATAGGAGGTCTAAACATTTAAACATTCAGCCTGCTTCGTCATCGTCACCTAAGATACTTTGCTGCAGGTAATCTATCAGAGCAGCCATCAAGTAAATAAAGGGTGTCTGGAGAAGCAGTACCACACAACACCAGCAGCCACACCACTACTACCGACAGCTTCCGACGGGAACAAGAAGACGACGACGAAGCACAAGTAGTAACATTCGACAATCACCGCAAGTATTCGCAATCAGCACTCGGTAGGGACAAGACCCCATACTGCTAACACTGGCAGCCACAACCACCACCGTAGCAACAAAGTGGACGAGGACGGCTCGTCGTCGTCGTCGCCGTCGTAGTAGTAGTAGTAGTAGTCGTAGTCGTCGTCGCACTACTATCACTAGCACCACATTGCTACTTACAACGACTGACAGCAGTATTTTGCAACAGCAGGGAGCAGCATCAAAATCCACCACGAACGCGAAGGAAAGCCAAGCAGTCAGATGTACACGACACCTGTTTAGCAGCCCACTACAATCACGAACCCCTTATAGAATCCTGACAAGCCTTATCAGCGGTTGCGGATCTTTCATGGAACCTTTGTCGCAATTTATGTACAACGACCACCAGCAACAAGCCAAAAACCTTTCCACAACATTCGAACGTTCCACTTGGAGGTTCATGAGCAGTTATGGGTGGGGTTATAATTCGGGTAACCATAATTACAACCCCGCATTATGGGACTTATACCACCCACTTATAACTACCCTAAACCCTATTGATCCCTGAGGGTGTATGTGAAGACGACGCAAGGGCAGGGGGCGATGAACATGGGCATGAACCAGAACGGGAAATGGAGTAAACAAGCCGTGTCCTACCAGTGTGAGGGGGCCATAGGGTCAGGCAGTTGCCTTCCACAACCGTGGATTCTGCAAACCTTGACTGCAAGGCGGAAAAAGCCGCTCAAAAAAAATAACTATAGAACCCTTAGAGTAACCCACGTAGAACTACCCATGAACCTTCAAGTAGGCTCTAAACCCTGAGCCCTTTATAGAAACCCTAGAGATCCCTTGAAGGGGACCCTTCACGGACTTTTCCGTCCCACTTATAGTAACTACTTGCAGGATCATGGGACTTGGTAAGTCAGGTTATAAGTACCTTAACTGGGGTTATAAGTATAGTTACCCTACCTGTACCCTTAGTTACTAAGTCCCATGACCCTTTAAGTAGACCCTATAATAGAACCCCTATAGATCCCCTATAGATCCCTTTAAAGGAGCCCTTTCAGGAAACCCTTTTTAAAATAGATCCCCTATAGATCCCTTTAAAGGAGCCCTTTAAAGAACCCCATGGAGCCCTAGACCCTAAACCCTCAACCCTCAACCCTAAACCCCCCGAAGCCCTAAACCCCTATAGATCCCTTTAAAGGAGCCCTTTAAGGAACCCCAGGGAGCTCTAAGCAGGTGCCAGCTCTCGGCCCGGCGGCTGCTCGTGGACGGATCCGAGTGGAGCGCCTGGCGGGACTGGGCCCGGGCCTCGGGTCCTTTTTGGGGATCCTTTTTGTGGGTGGCTCTCAAACTTATTAGGGTTTAGGGTTTAGGGTTTAGGGCTTAGGGTTTAGGGGTTTAGGGTTTAGGGTTTAGGGTTTAGGGGTTTAGGGTTTAGGGTTTAGGGTACCCTAAATATTAGGTGCCGTGTTATAATAAGGGCCCAAAAAGGGACCCTAATTTTGACAACCAAACATATAGTAAATGAAATAGTTTCCTTATTATGGTAGTTTAACTTAAATGAACCCTATCATCATAGGGATTTATAGTAAGTAATATGGTTTCCTTATTCTGGTTAGTTGAACTGAAAGGGATCTATCGTAACTAATACTTGGAGGTTCATGGGTACTGTCGTTGTAAGTGGGGTTATATGTAGGGCAACCACAATTGTAACCCATATTAGGGGGCTTATGACCCCACTTATAAGTACCCATGAACCTTCAAGTATGGCTTCCTTTCTTTGGTAATCTCGATTACTTAAAGGATCATGGGACTTAGTAACTAGGGTTATAATTAGGGTAACTATACTTATAACCCCAATTAGGGTACTTATAACCTTACTTACTAAGTCCCATGACCTTTCAAGTAACATCCTTTAACAAGAACCCAGAATCGGCAAGGGCCCCTCGAGGCTCGCGACCAGGAGGATGCCATCCCTGAGCCCGTACAATGACTTTAGGGTTTAGGGGTTTAGGGTTTAGGGGTTTAGGGTTTAGGGGTTTAGGGTTTAGGGTTTAGGGGTTTAGGGGTTTAGGGTTTGGGGTTTAGGGTTTAGGGTTTAGGAACTCGGGTGCAGTTGCAAGTGGTGTTGCAAGTACCCCACTTGGGGTATGAGGGGTTTACTTCCAGAGTCGCCTAGCTGATAACTTTACTAAGTCGCAGATCCTCCGAGCAGGCAGATTTGCTCTTCCGGCGAAGAGTTTCCGGGTGGAATGCTTGGATAAGCGGTGTTTTCTTGCACCTTGAGACGGTTTTCAGACGGTTTTCTGAGGGTGGGTAGTTGTTTGTATCAACGTTTTACATTACCTGGTTTGTCGGGCTTAGCATAGGGGCAACAACAATTAGAAGAAGGATTTTTGGAACATTCCAATATAGCCATAAAATAGTTCATAATTCACATGCGGTGGTGCCGTGTGTAATATTGGAGCCTTAGTCAGCCTTAGTCGTTAGAATGGCTTTCTGGGGAATGTTACAGTATAGTCATAAAGATGCCGCCTACAATTCCTGGTCCTAGTAGTTCCAACTTGCATATAAAGTCACTGTCGTGAAGCCCAGAGAGGCTTTCAGAAGACATGAGAAGCAGGCAGGACATGCCGGGGTTCTCTCCTTCTGTTAACGACTCGGAAGATTTCGAGATGTAGCGGTGTTGAACGAAGAGCGTGAATGCAGAGGTTCTGGCCCCCTACTGTCGGAAAGCTACCAGGCAAGTCTTGCGAGCCGATCGGTAACCGTTGAAGAAAGTAGCCCCAACTTCTGCCGGGACCTCCGAAGGCAAGATCCAGCAAAACCCACGCAACAAACCCCAGCCTGATACTTGCAACATTAAGCTGTCGACTTTAAGCCCAAACAACAACCGAAGCCTAAAGCCTAAACCAAGCCCGTGAAACCTCAACTTGCCGCCTCCTTAGCTGTAGAGTCCAAGCTCTTTGAAGCCCTCCCAAAGGCCGTTCGAGGAGTCGAGGAGGCCTCTAAGTCCTGTGTGAGTCTGTCTCTTAGGGTTTTGTACTTAAAGAGGGCTTTAGAGGTGGCTGCTCAGAGGGCTTCATACTCCAGAACCGAGTTTGAGTTGAGGCTTTTGCATTTGTTTTGGAAGGGCTAGGTGTTACAGGGCTTAACGGGTCTCCGTAGGTTGGGCATGTGAAGCTTGTCTAGCGATGAAAGATAATTTGAGTATTCTATCACAACCTGCAGAAATCCTTGGGTCCTCAAAGTTACAAAGCCAAGCACACATAGTTTTGGCCTGCACGTCCAAGGTGGGAGTATGCACGGTTCTTTTTGGTCGCGGGTTTGCATTGGGTCGGTGTGAACCGTTTGACCTGCGCCCGAGACGCCAAAAAGGTCAGGTTCAGCTGCTGCTAGATATCGTTTTCTGGATTGCACCTGCTTTGGGTTTACGGTTTGAAATTTTTCCGGGGTGTGAACCTGACTTGGCTTGAGGGTTGAGGGGCTTAAGTGCGAGGTCTCGAGTCCTGATCTTGCTGCTTTGACCCTCTGCCGGCGCAGCTTCTGTTTCACAACAGCTTTTCAAAAGGCAGGGCCCAACGGGGGCCACTGGCCCCAAAACAACAATGTGAAAGGCAGGGCGAACTGAAAAAATCTCAAGCTCGAAGCCGAGAGATCCCCCGGTGTTGAACGACGAGCCCCGAGGATCCTCGACGGCTCACTTTGAACCACCAAAAGTCTGAACCCAACCTCGTATACTTGTTTTTAACCGAAGGCACGCACCACAAACGCCAAACATTTGAGCCCCAATAAAACCCGAGAACCCTCAAACCCTAAAGCCCCACGTGCCCAAAAGACCCAAAAGCCCGTGCGCACCGGAGCGCCCGCACCCGGGTCATGGCTCGCTGGCAGAGCGCTGGCAATGGGCTGCGCCAGCTCCAGCTCACGCTCAGGACACCTCGGGGTTTCTGGGCGGGGGGGATGCTCTGGATCGAAGTGTTCCCTTACATCGTCCTCCGAGAATCAGCGAGGTTGGCCGGCGGTTCGTGCACCACTCCCTTCCGGCACCTCAAACACGCACGCCCTCCCTGGGCCAAGCAAACCCGAAGCCCTATGCCCTGCCCGCGGAGCACCGCCACGTCTCAACACTTCGCAGAGCCAGATCAGCAATCGGCAGCCCCTTCTCCAGGAGCCACCAACGAAGCCCAGCACGACGCATCTCGGATGACAGAAGTGCAGGGAGTTCAAGGATTTTGTTGACGGCGAGTCCGTTTTGTCCACGCATGCTTGTGTTTGGCTGCGGGGCCTGAGGCCTAAGCTCTCAAGCCGGTTCAGTTCTTGAGCGCACAATCACATCTGTGACACAGGAGTCGATGATGTCGATCAGTCAGCTAGCGCGCCTGGCGGCCTGCAAAACGTGTTGGTTGGCAGTGTTACGGCGACGACGTTTAAATCGACATCTACCAAAGAGCCAAAGCGCTGACGGCATGCTCAGAGCTCCATGAGTGGGACCACACTAATGCCCACGGCGCCTGAGATGTACATCCAGAACCCATGGCCTTACATTTTCTAAGCTTTCGCCCCCAACTGATCTTGGGAGACCTTGACTATGAGGTCTGCATAACCTGCACAAGTCCGGTGCTGGCAGCAGACGACTTCTCCGGCTTCTTCAGCGACGCTCCGCCGATTTTCCCAGGGTTGAAGATTTCGAGCTCTGGGGGTTTCGGATCCCGGCAGGGTTTGAGTGCTTGATTCGGGGTCGGAACACTGAGCCTGAGCCTTGCACCTGCAGCTCGAGTGTTGCGCACGTTTTGGGGGCATCGGAAAGTTTCTACCATCTGGTTGAAAGGCAGTTCGGGGGTTGGGGCACCCAAACATAAAGAGGAACTGCAAGTGTGGCTGTTCTAGAAGATCAACCTTCTTTTCCAGGTGCGAGCACACTTAACTTCGATCATGACGAGCGTTAGCAGTGACCCGTCTTCACAACACCATCATCCCTGTCATGACGATGCAGCTTTGCGAACCTCAGCCGTATAAACCAGAACCCATAAGCTGTCAACAGCGCCCTACAGACACCCAAATCAGAAGACTCATGTGAGGATTGGATCATGAAGGCCTGCGCAGAGATGCACCCTGGCTGTCCGAGGGGGGGCCTCCGACGGATGTAGGGTTTCGAAAGGCTTTGTTGGGTCATGAAGACTCGTTGGCTTGGGGCCTCACAAAGCTTCGGCGGATTAGTTTTCTTCGGGCACTGGCTCTGGTCTAAGGGTTGTCTTGAACATGGGCACTTTGCTAGGAGTGCGTTTTGAGACAGGCCCTCTGAGGGATGGTGACGGTGTTGGTGTTGTTGGTGCTGGTGGTTGTGGTCGTTGCAAGACCAGGAGCAACAATAGCAAAAGCAATGGCAAGAACAATCCCAGGAGCATCAGCAGCAACAGTTGGCACCAATTGTCGTCGCAATGGGAAGAACGGTCATAAACCAGAGAGATTTGCACCTCAAGTCGCCACAGCGCTCCACGGCTGAGGCAGCTCACTTGCATCTCCTCGCGGCCGCAGCTTGGTCCCGACGAGCCCAAGGTCGCCCACAGGTCTTATTTGTGATTGTATTCCTGAACACTCCTTCGTATAACTCTACTAGTAATTACGCACCACAAAGCCTTGTTGCGAATAGTTGAGGCCGCTGTGCTGCAGGAGCACAGCAGAGAGATTGATAGTGTTGGCAATTGTAAGCGATGCAGTAAATTGGCGGTTTCATGACAGATAAAATCTATTGCATACCTCACAATATCCCGGAAGATCCTGCTGTAGTCGGAGAACCTATAGAGGTTTTGCCGTCTGAGGGTCGTTGGTTTTCGGTTTCGGGGTTGGGGGCTGCGCATGTCAGGGCGAAGCATATGAGTACCCAGAGAGCCCACTACCCCTTCATTAAGGAAAATAGCTTAAATCATAATATGAAGCCCCTTATAATTCAAGGTATATTGCTTAATTAAGGGGTATTGGGCTCTCTGGGTACTCTACAGGTTCGGTGCCTTTCAGCCTGTCCGTTTGGCTTACCCTTGCTTAGTAGGAATGGAAGAATGGTAGTAATAGTAATTATATGGTTGTATTATGATAGTAATATGGTAGCAATATGGTAGTAGTATGGTAGTAATAGTAGTTGTAATTGTACCCCATTCCTCCATTCCCTACTAAGCAAAGGTAAGTTGGAGGGGGGGCTTGGGGAGAGGATCCAGGGGTGAAGGCCAAAACAAATCGGCCTTCAGGTGGAGACTGGTGGCCTTATTGTTCGGAATCGGGGGTCCTTATTATGTTTATAGTACAATGGGCCCCAAAACCCTATTCTAATTATTAAGGCCCCTGTGCTAAACCCTTATAGTAATCCTTATAGAACCACCCTTTAAAGGGACCCTAGTTTGATTATTAAGGCCCCTATATTTTGTCACTGGGTCTGAGCACCTTTGAATGGACTGCCGGGCCAGGCCGGCTCTCGTTTGGAGCGGGAGCTCCGGCAGGCGGTGCTGAGAAGCCGCGTGGCCGCGCCTCGCCGGAAAGAGGAAAAGGGCGGAGAAGACGAGGGCCCTAGGGGAAAGACGGGCGGACGGGGGCAGGGGGGTTTGGGGTTTAGGGTTTAGGTTTGGTTAGAGGTTATACAGAAAGAGTTTGGGGGACTATAGGCGCTTGGGGGTTTAGGATTTATAGGGTTTAGAGCGTAGGGGGCGGAGTTTGGGGTTTGGGTTTAGCCCAGTGCTCCGAACCCGAAGTCTTCAGCCCTCCTCGAGGTCTGCATCATGAACATGACCAAAGGCTGCGAGATGCCACCGCCGGGCTACAAGGCCACCGAGGGTCGATCTAAGTAAGAACCACGATGGCAGGTTTACGGGTAGTTTCTTATGTGATCTCAGGCTCTTTACGATCTAAGCGGGTTTCTGCAGGAAAGCATTAAGAAGGTCTTCGGGGTTTCAGAGTCGGTGCTGGTGAAATGGATGTTGCGAGTAAAAGCAGAATCAAGCTTCCGTTAAGGTTTGTAAGTAGGGCATTGCAACAAGGATCCCGAATTGGGACTTTTCAGGCACTATCCTAATCAATATGATGGGAGTCCCACGAGTGACGGTCAAGCTTGCGATCACAATTGTAAAACCCCCAAACCCCGATTGTCAAACACCTTAACCCTCACAAAGCATCGTAAAACCCTGAAGCACGAAAGCCATTCTTGCACGCTGTACTAGTCTTCGGAGAGTCTTCGCTCAATGGAAAGGACGTCAGCTTCTTCGTGTTGGAGGCTTCAGGCATGTAATCAACAAGAAGCCCTCAAGCCCCAACTACCACCCGCCGTGAACCCCAACTCTCCGAAGTCGTTTGGGGTTTTGGGGATTCCTTATTCCTTGTTATTTTAATTACAACTATAGAATAGTATATCCCCGAAGCCTTTTCTAACTCTTTAGGCCCCTCCAGTGTGAACCTCGAAGCCTTCGACAGCCCAGCGGCCCGAGCCCTGCGAGGCAGAGGTCACCTGGGCCGAGGAGCGGAACATCCCCGTGGTCCGGGCCCCGGAAAAAAAAAAAACAGCTCCCGAAGACTCCGTGGGCAGTTTAAGGGGAAGCTTGGGGAGATTCTCCTTGGGTGGAGATGCGCGGATCAACTTCCTGAGCGTTGAGGTCTCCGATCAGAACTCTTCTTCCTTTCAGCCTGGTCGCCTGAGAGAGAGAGAGAGAGAGAGAGAGAGAGACACTTTCGGCTTGTGGAAGTTTGTTCGCGCTGGAACCCCACACTTCAATACAGGCCACTAGACTCCTGCAGCAAACGGCCATAATCGACTTTTCGGCAAGGTTCCTTTTGACTCTGTATGCGGGCTATAAACAGAAGCAGATGACGGCAGTTTCAGCTCTCTTCGGGCTTCGGGCGCCTTCGGGGCGTTGGTGTTTCTTCTAGGGGCATGTGCCCTGGAGCTCAAGGTTGGGAGCCAACAGGAAGGCAAGCCAAAAACCTGGGCCCGCATGGAATGCCACCGAGGTCCCATTCTACGATGCCGACCGCTACGACTGGAAGGAGGTTGGATTTGTGAGGGGCTGTTTAGGGGTTTTTATCTGGGCTCAGGTAGTACGGCTGGTATCAACTGTCAGTACTGCTCCTTATTTCTAGGCTGTCTGCTATGTCTGCTACTCTTGGCACCGGATGTCCGTCTTACAGCGCTTCCACATTCTCTTCTTGCTGTCTCGCTATCTTCGATCAGATGCGAGCACTTCAACATCTTCAGCCCACGGCTCCTCAGAACCTGTCATTGACGAGGGGTCCACGCCTGGCTCGTCAGGTTACTTTTGGGATGTTGTGTGTGTGTGTGTGCGTGTGTCACACGTAAGGGCTTGGATTCAATACTGCTTTGGGAATTTGGGGGCTTGGAGCTTCGGTATTTCAGGTGTTCCGCCTCAGAACCTAGGACCGAGACAGGGCATCCTATCCTCATCTTACCTAGAGCTGCACACTCCATCGGCGCAAGCTGCAAGCACCCGACCCCACTTGGGAGTATTCCCAACCGCCGTATGTGTGACCTCGACGGTCCAATCAGCCGTATGTAGGTACTTTGACCTGAAACCTACTTCCGATGACAAGCCTTCCAAAGCGGTGCTAGGGGAAACCCAATTTGTCAACACAGCTCGCTCGAGCAAGCCAATTTGAAAAGAGCAGGCAGAACCCGAAGTAGCCTAGACCCTAAACTCTAAACCCCAACAGGGCAAAAACAACTTGCAGCAAAAATATACTTTCGACTGGGGAGGCGGCATCCTGGAAGATCGACCTTCCTGCGGCCCTTTGCTTTATGGTATTTGGGGCGTCCGCAGTCGAACCGCCTTGAAAGTCTTTCGGGTATTTACTCTTTGTCCCTGCCAGCGCCAGAACTTCCTTGACTGGAACAGAGTTGGATACAAAGTTCCCGGTTGAGTTGGATCTTGCTCGAAGCAAGCCTGGAAAGCCTAAACCCTCGAAGCCTGAACTTGTAAAGCCCAAACCTTCGGCTTTGACTCCTCAAGAAGGTACCGTGAGCCCTCAAAGCCTTGACCCAAACGACTGAAACACGGAGTTCGGGTTCGGGGTGTGGCCTGAGGAAGGGTCGCAAGGTCGGCCAGACGAAGAGACTGGAAAGGAGCACGAAGACTATCAAGCTTTCACTTCCAGCCGGAGTTGAGAAACCGACGCACGAAATCGAAAATGAAACCCTTGTTCCGCAACACAATTCCCTTCCCAGGGAATGAACAGCTACAACCCTAAAAGCTCTAAGCCCTGGGCCGCAGCAGAACACCTCCCCTAAACCCTAAGGTCTTTCGTTGGGGGCTCGGGCCGGTGCGCTACCGCCGGGCCGGCCATGAGGAGGTCGGGCTCGACAGCTTTGGGCCTCGGGCCCGCGCGATCGGTTCAGGTCTGCCCTGGAACAGTCTTGAAGTAGGCCTAAAAGTAGGGCAACTTCTGCTACAAGTACTTAGACCCCCCCCCGCGAATGATATATGATATATGTAAGGTAAGTACGTGTAACCCACCTTGGAACTCCCTCGTCTTACTTACTTATAGCGGTGAAAGCAATAGAGTACGTCCTAAGCCCACCTGAGAAGAGGCAAAGGAGCAGCTGACGTCCGCGCTTCAGCGCGCTCTGAAGGAACCGCGGGGGCACGGCTGAAGCTTAAGCTTCGAGTTCCTGGGTTTCAGGGGTTAGTGAGCCTGGACCCTCGAGGCAAGAATGATCAAACAAGCTCTGAACTCGGGCTTTGGGATACGGGCCTCAGTGGCGAGGGCTGGAAGGCTGCGCTTGGGGCCGACCGGCAACTACAGACTTGCATGATAAGTTTACGGCATAGTCACGATGGTGCTGTGGAGTGCTACTGCTGTGATTGTTGTGGAAGTTCTTGGGTTTGCACTCTTTCTAAAGTTGTCATACTCTGGAATGTAGCACACCATCAGTACAAGTACCGTACCACTAGAAGCACTCCGGGGAGGCAGGCAGGCTGACAGATTACGTTCATATGTACAAGCTTGCATTTTCTTTCCGTGAGTGTATGTATGCCCATCTGCAAGGATCTGGAAGAGCGGACGCCGACATACGCGGACGAGGAGGCTGTGCAGGGGATTCGGCTGTGTGGCACAAGGGGCCTAGGTTCAGGGTTGGGGCTTTGCAAGGCTTTGGATTTTAGGGTGTTGGTGCTTGTGGTGTCCAGGTCAAACGGTCAAAGAGCTTTTCTGTGTTGATTTGTTATCGTGGTTTTGGATAGGGTTCTCGGCTCCACGTTCGTGGTACTTACGGGACATCAGGTGTGTTAAAGGTTTTTGATTGTTTCGAAACAGCCAGAGCCCTCTGAAGAGGCCAAGATACTGGTCTGAAAACTCGTCGGAAGTCGCAAGCCCTTCAAGCTTTGCCTTAGCCTTGCAAGGCCTTTTCAGGAGGAGTTTGGGCTTTCCGGTCTCCAGGTCTGTTACGGTTCAGTGCTTCCGCTTTCAATTGGGGGGAGCTCCAAGACGAGCTTCCAGCTCACTATTGCGAGACCACATGGCTGCCATGTGCGAGCTGCACCCACCCATCAGACTAAGAATGTCTACAAGCATCGCCGAATCTTCTCTCGTCATTTTCGAGCCAAGCTCCGCTCAACAGCTTGACCTCCCAAGTTGCTGAGTCTGAGTCGCTTACCCTGACCCCGAAATCGCTAAAATCCCTTGGTGCTACACGTCAATCTCCCAGGCTCCATACGCTGAGTCCCAAAACCCGAAATCGCAAAAAGCTGATTCCTCGAATCGATGCCAAGGCGGCAGCTCGCGGGCGCTTGGCGGCTGCGGCGCAGGGCCTCGCGGACGCAGCCACTGCCCGAAGCCCAGGGAGCAGTGCCGAGACGCTTGTTCTGGGGGTTGTAACAGGGCTTAACAGGGTGTTACAGCGTTCCATGAGGGTTTTCCTGGCCTAGGGCTTCAGCGCGCTTTATGATAGCGTTTTAAACAAGGTTGTGCAGGTCACAGGTCTTGCGTTGGGGGCGCGACTTGAGGATTTAAGGTGCCGGCATCCGGGTTACTACGTGGAGATCGGGGACCGGAGAGCGAAGGCTTGAGGGATCTTGCGGCTGTGCAGGCCTTGAGTGTTTCGAAGCTCTCGTGGTCCAGTGCTTTAGGTTTGAGGGTATGAGGCTTAATAACGGCCGCATTCGGGGTTTGTGGCTTTGGAGATTCAAGACATCGCATTGCGGATTGTGGTTAATTCGCAGGGTTGAGGGTTTAGGATTTAGGGTTTAGGGCAGCAAGATTCCGGGAGTCGAGTGTCGTGTTGAAGATCCCGTCGTAGGTTTTGGTTGGTGTCAGAAGTCATGGGGTTCGCCTCGGTACCGGGCCACGCTGTCTTGCACCCAGATGTGACCCTGGCACCACGTTAAGTAGGGCTGATATTGCGGTTGCGGTGTCGGGGAGTGCATCGGGCTCCTCAGGAATTTAGATGAAGTTATATGAATGGGCATACTAATATAGGGGCCTTAATAATTACCTATACTATCTTTTGGTGGTTCCTCACTATAATCATCGTAAACATGAGCCCCCAAACCTTATTGTACCTGTTAAGGCCCCGCTATTATATAAGCCCTTATAGTAGCCCTTATAGAACCCCTTTAAGAGGAACCCTTCAAGGGAACCCTAAACCCCTAACCCCCAAACCCTAAACCCCTAAACCCTAAACCCCTAAACCCTAACCCCTAAACCCCTAAACCCTAAACCCTAAACCCTAAACCCCTAAACCCTAAACCCCTAAAGCCCTAAACCCCTAAACCCCTAAACCCTAAACCCTAAACCCTAAACCCTATTCTAATTATTGCCTCTTATGATAGAACCCCTATAGATCCCCTTTAAAGGATCCCTTTAAGGAACCCTAGTTACTAAGTCCCATGACCCTTTAAGTATTCTAATTATTGCCGACCAGCACCACCCCGAGGCTGGGGGCGTGTCCCAACTGGGCCTTGAGCTCTCTCGCGCGGAGGCAACTCCTTGGGTTAGTGTTTAGGGTTTAGGGTTTAGGGGTTTAGGGGTTTAGGGGTTTAGGGTTTAGGGTTTAGGGTTTAGGGTGTTAGCACACATTCTTGCGGTGATTTGTCTTGAGTTTTCTGGTTGGGCAGGCTGGTTTCTTTACATTCATGCTGCGGTTTCTGAAAGTCTCCATTTGAAAGGCTTGAGGGTGCTATGCTGGGCTTCCAAAGAAGCTATGCAGTTTCTATTTATCACTTTCTTGGGTTTAGGGTTTCAGGTTAAGGGTTTAGGGTTTAGGGTTTCGGGTTTAGGGTTTGTTTCAGGGCTCGGGTTGGAAGGTGCGTCCAAGCTTTTTTCTGACATGGGCTTCTTCAAGGGGAGCTGAAGGAGTTTACATGATTATACTGCTTCCGTTGCCAGGTTTTGCTCCGGAGGCTTGGTTTGGGGTTTGGGGTTTGAGGCTTGAAGTTTGGGGCTTTTCGAGTGTTGTTTAGCGACTTGAAGCTCTGAGTTTGGATGCTTTTTTGTTTGCGATTTGGATGCAAAGTAGGGTTTAGCAGTTTGGTGGTTGCATCGCAACAGATTGACTGGTGTGACTTTTTGTGATTGGTGTTGTTCGGTGTTGTACGTGCTAGGATGCAATTTTGATTCCACTTCACATCTAAGCTGGAAGAAAAACGGCTTCCTGTGTCGATGTCCTACGGCAACGTCTCGATGTCCTAAGGCAGCTACACTATAGATGTAACCTCGATTGTGATACCTCTTGCTGTGCTTACTACGTCTTCTGATCCTGCAAGTACACTACGGAGCAACCTACTCCGCTCTAGGTGGCTTTGCGCGATGCGCGGACCAAGGAGGCAAACTTCTGTGGGAGGGCAGGCGAGATTTCGAGGCCCAAGAAGGCACATGTGAAACAGGCGTCCTACCTTTGGGGAAACTTCGGCGTATAGTTACTAGTTCGCGAAGCCGCTTGTTGGATGCTTAGAGTAAGGCTTCAAATATCGAATCTCTGGCAAAGTTCAGGAGTTGAGTTTGGGGATTTTAGGATCTAGGTTTCATGCTTCGTGACCTTTGTGGCGTCGGGGAATCAGATCTCCTGCTGAGGGCAGGTGTTGTCCTGCTTCCTGCTGCCATCACCCTGACTACTTCTGGCGTGGGTATAATTATGAAGATGACTATGACTTTCATGTGTTTGCAGATGTTGTCCGCTGTGTTATCGTTCTCATTCCGATTTTTGCTGGTCAGATGGTTACTGTCGCCAGAGTTTTTGTGATGTGACTGCCTTCTTGATCATCGGCATCATCACCGTGATAACCATTGTCACCGTTTGTACGATCTTTTAACTCGTGGTTTCATCCGTCTTCGTGCCACTCTGTTCCGTGCAGCTCCAGAGTCCGCACTTGGGCAGTCCCTCTACTCTCAGGCTTCGGAGTTCAGGTTCGGGGGGGGGGGCATTTTCTGTGTCTTTCAGCTCAGAAGACGTCTAGGAGCCACCCCTGTCTCCCCCCAGGCCCAAGCCGTTTGAAGCCATCCAAACCCTGCAAGAACCTCAAACCGCTCCGAGGCGGCGGCCAAGAGGCGAGCTGCACAAGAAGCCGAGGAGGATGGCTTGGAGGAGAATGCTTTGGGGCAGCGGGGCACAACTAATATGGGGTCTGTGTAAGTCCTCAGGCTATTCCTCAGGGCCCCTTGTCATTAGTTCTAGTATCATGTACTCCGAAACCCTATCCTAATCGTTGCGGCTCCACTTTGCAATCCTCAGCCATGCCCGTGGGCGATTAAGGTACCTTTCTGAGGTGAGCTCTGTCATTCGTTTAAGCAGCATGACAACCCTGCCTTCAGCTGCGAGCTCTAACTTCTTTTTGACCTACGGCTCTGAACCCGGAAACCTAAACCAAACAAGACCCCCCAAAACAAGCTGCAGAAGCCTGAGTCCAATAAGTCTGTTCGCTATAGCCATACTTGCACGACTAGAGACAGAAGGGACAAGAGTAAATATCAACCGCGAGACGAGTCGGAAAGATCACGAGCTATCACGATCAGACGCTAGCTCATCACTGAGCACGATCATGAACTCTCCAAAACCTCAAACCCTAACCCTTGCTAATCCTGAATCTAAGCCCCCCAAGCCCTAAAGCCTAGAACCTGCACTAACCCGAAACCCTAAACCCAAAAAACCCTAAACCCAAACCTCAGAACCCTAAACCTACATTAACCCTAAACCCTAAACCCATACTAATCCTAAACCCATATGAATCCTAAACCCTAAACCCACCATATAAACCCAAATTTCGGACCTTCGGGAGCCCTCCGAGGCTCGACAGAAGCGACTTCGAGCGTGCGGGCCTCGTCGAGCATCCCGGCAGCGAGAGGAAAAGCACGAGAGTACGATAGGGGCCTTAAGAATTACCTAGGAGCCTTAATGCTTAGATTAGGGTTCCTTTAAAGAGGTTTAAAGGATCTATAAGGGTACTATTACGTATGGGCCTTACTAGTTACCTAAGGATTCCTTTAAGGGTTCCTGTTAACGGGGTTTATAAGCAGTGCTAACAGGGAAAAACTAGGGATTTAGTCTAGGGGCCTAAATAGTTACCAATACTATTTTGGGGGTTCCTTATGTACATTATAGTATAATGGGCCCCAAAATTCTATTCTAGTTAGTAAGGCCCCTGTAGTAAGGCCGAAGTCTTGTTTAAGGTTCAAGCCAGAGCTTACGGGTGTGACGTTTAGGCTTTAAGGTTTGAGGTTCTGATGCTGGACTTATGGTGTCGGGCCCTTTTGTGCGTTGCAGCAGGAGTAGTAGAATAGCCCCAGCACAAACGATTGTACTCAAAAGGCAAGGAATAAGAAAAAGGGAGCTGAACATATAGATTCCACCTATGGCCGAAATGAGCCCGGTTAGTCGACTGGATCGTACTGATGGTCAGGCCAAGAAACGTAGTATCGAGAATGAATCAAGAGCACTGATGAAGGTTGTTGTCTTCACTGTCGTAGTAAATGCACCAATGCCATCAATGTTCAATGTGCGAACAACAACCAGTTGGTGAAGTCTCTCATTCGCCATGATAGCACCAGCACCAAGCAAGCTTTGGACGACTATGGAGCACTAACCGCATACATCAGAAGTAGGCGATGCTGCGCAATACCAGCCGCAGCAGTGTCGTTCTCACTGCAGAAGATGAGAAACATTAGTTGTGGAAGATCCCCTAAACCGTAAGCAACAACATTCGGAGGATACGTTCCAGCTTGGGGGTAGCTCTGCTTCTGGGGTTCTGAACCCGTCCTACTCGAGCTATGCGCATTGACCATAGGCGAAAGCTGGAGAGAACCAACTCCATGCGTGTCTTGGCCGTTGGTGGGACGATTAGTCCGAACCTGAACTCTGTAGTTTCTGCTTGTTTAACCGGGCTTGTCGGACCCTAGACCGTCCTGTAGATGCACTTATAAACAGACCTGCCTGCCTGTGTTCCTGCCTGCCTGCCAGTTTGCGTTCCTGCATACATAATCATACATACATGCATACGTCCATACACGCTTACATTCATCCATACTTCCATCCACCCATGCATCCATCCATCCATCCATCCATCCATCCGTCCGTGAACCCGTCCATCCATGCATGCAGGCACATACATGCAGCAACCTCACTAGCTCGACTAACGAAGCCCCATAAATACAACCCCCCAATGAACGAAACCCGGCTTAGCCCACAGCAAACCCGAAGCCAAAAAAACCCGCACTGTGAACCCAAAGCCCATTCCACAAGTAGCTTTCGGACTTTCCGCAGTGAAGGGCTCGGCCTCCAGAGGGAGCTCTGAGGTTTAGATTTAGAGCTCCAGGGCTTAGGGTTCTTGTAGGGTTTGGGGTTTAAGGTGGTGGGGCTTCCGGGCTGAGGTTGTCGGGTTTCGATGCTTCGGGTTACGTCTTGAGGCACTACCTCAGCAAGTTTCAGGTTTAGTCACACACACACACACACACACACACACGCTCTGGACCTTCAAACAACTCCCCGAAATGGCGAAGCCCTTGACTAGGCTCGTACTTAATATTCTGTTAGCACAAGTAGCATGTGCCGCAGTCTACAACGATGCACTCATGCAGGCGGTTAGAATTCTACGACCTAGGGTTTCAGGGTCTTTAGGAAATCATGGGTTCAGGCGATCAGGCTGTTTAGGATGTACTGTACGGTCTTTAGACATGCGATTGCAGGATCGTCACTAGGATTCAAGAGGAAGTCGACGGGCACATTGTCCGTTGTCCGTTGTAGGCGACATCACGGTGGACAGCGCTTTGGCCATCCTCCAGAAAGGCGCTTCTGTAGTTTATGAAAAGAGTGTTTCTTTTGGTTGATCACGGTTCTAACGGGGTTTAGGGCTTGAGGGTGTGGGCCGTATGGGGATTTAGGGTACGGGATGGTACGGGATTTAGTTGGGATTATGGGGAAGAGGGTGCAAAGGCCGTAGGTTCGTCCCTTGGATCATGCCGGTCGAGGTGTGCGCTGGTTATACTAGTTCAGGTGTTTGCATATCAGCGGGCCCATCGAGAGCATGTCTTGTGGGTACGTTGGCGTTTCCAGCTTTTTTGGGGTTCCGATGTTGCGATGATGTCGACTTGCAAAGTTTTTCAGGGCCTCCGCTGATTTTCTAAAATTGGATCTTAAACCCCAAATCCTAACCGAAACCCTAAATCCTAAAACTCTCCCGTGATCCGCAGAGCAGGTGCCAGCGCGGTGGCAGCGGCTGCGGGCTACGGCAGCGTGGGGGACCCGCCCCGTGGCGCTGGGGTTAGGGGTTTAGGGTTTGAGGTTTAGGGTTCACGGAAGCATGCCTTTTCGAGTCGAGGTTTCGCAAACTTGAGATCCTGAAGTTTGCTGCTTTTGTGAGTTTTTTCGTGGGCTTAGTGCGCCGAGAGTTTTTTTTTGGGGGCTCGGTGCACTGAGGGCCCTAAACAGTTCCTCTGCTAAAGCGCCGTTTCCCTAAATCCGAAACCCCATAGCCTGAGCCCTAAACCCCAAGTTGAAAAGCAGCAAGGCTGGCAGCTCGAGAGGGTGGCTGTCGTCTCGAGTGCCCTGGAGGAAGACAGCAAGTCTGCTAAAAGAGAGGGTATCTACGTAGGACCAGGCATGGCATCCACGAATCTCCCTACGGCCGCATGCTTCTAAGATTCTCGGCCCTGAAGCATTCGTCGGCTTTTCCGGGAAATGGGGGTGGTTTTGAGACGAGATCGCCCATCTAGGCTGGCCAAGGGTGTGGAGGATGTGAGCGACGAGACGCTACGAGGCTGGATGAGGAGCAACCTTCAGCTTACAAAAGCGATGCGCTGGAACCGCTCAAAGTCCCATTGCAGAGTTGAGGGTTTCGCATATGGGTGTCGAGGCTGTTACGGTTAGGGTTGCTCATGAACCCCTCCAGGCAGACAACATCTTGAGATTCCACCCTGTGTCTCCGAAGCCGGCCGCCTCAAGCTGGCTTCAGTAGAAAAGTGATCCCAAGACTCGCGTTCAGGGTTCGGGCTTCAAGCTCTAGGGTTCAAGTTTATGTTTTGGGATTTCGGGCTCGGGGTGTAAGAGCATAGATGGAACTCCAAACCCTGAGCTTCTCGCGGCTCATGACATTTTCCCGGGGGGGGGCGCGTGCTGCTCTAACTCCAGCTTGGCATCCGCGCCCGCTTTCAGAAAAAACCCTAATAGCAACCCCCGCGAGCCCGATAGAACCCTCCTACTTAAAGGGTCATGGGACTTAGTAACTAGGGTTATAATTAAGGTAACTATACTTAATACCCCCAATTAGGGTACTTATAACCTTACCTGCTAAGTCCCATGATCCTCCAAGTAGAGTACCTTCCTATATGGGAGTTTCCCAAAATAGGGGGCTCCTAATCTAGTACCCTAAATAGTAGGATCCTTATTATAAGGACCCCTAAATAAGGTACCCCTATTTTCGGAAGCTCCCATATAGAACCCTACAGTCCTCTCAGCTAAAGACGGCCAGGTGGCGACCCAAAGCACCGCATCTGCATACCGGCGAAGGGCATTCTTCGCCGCTCCGCCCCCAAAACCCCGAAAGAAAGCGGGGTTTAGGGTTTAGGGTTTAGGGTTGGGCTTTGGAGTTTAATAGGGTTTAGGGCTCGTAGGGTTTGAGGTATTGGGCTTATAGGTTTTAGGGCTTATAGGGTTTAGGGTTGCGGGCTTGTTCACGCTTGGCACAGCAATCGTTGCTGCCGTGCTTGGGCATGCCGAGTCGATACGAGTTCATTCCGCTTCTCATCTCGCGTGAGCGCATCGAAGACTGGAGCCTTCTGTCGGCCGCGCCAGTGTACCCAGCCGTGCCCATAAAGGGCGGCTCCCACTAAACCTAGCCAGCGCCTACCCGTTCTGCTCCCTGCCCATGCCGGCCCTCTCATGGTGCCCTTTCAGGTTTCGAACTTAGACTCATTTGCAAAGATACCCTGAGAAACCTCCCATCTTTCTGTGGGCACCTTTAGTGGTGGCCTCGGACCACTCGCATCGTGCATGCTTCATCGGATTCCGTACCCTGCAGAGGTTTATGAACTTTTAAATTCGGCCCAAGGCCCCAACAGCCGGACAGTTTCTGCCCTGATCGCTGGACAGTTCCTCCTCCCAAACCCAGGAAAGGACCGGGCTGGAAGCAAGAGCGGGAAGAAGGCCACAAAGAGCTCGGGCCCAGAGGCGTCGGCTGAAGGTTTGGGGGCAGAGGCTTCGCTGTCAACGTGCTCGGAAATAGTGGTGTAGCAGACAAAGGGTTGAGGAGCAACCTGTTGAGAGAAATGTTGCTTGGGGTGTGGTGGGGTTATTTCCGTGCAGGCTTGGGAAACTGACGGGAAGCGAATTAGTTATTATGCTTGGTTGGGTTGTCTTCGTCAAGGGCTTACGGTCTCGTCGGTTTTAGGGGGGTTGTCGGGTTTGGCGCTTGGCGAGATTAGGGTGCAGGGTTCAGGGAGGTGTGAGGACTTAGGGTGTTAGACTGCGCCGCGGATAGGGCTTGGGGTTTGTAGGCTTTAGGGTCTAAGGTTTCGGGTTAAGGTTTTGGTTCTGAAGGCTTCATATGTTTCGGGCGAATCGTTTAGGGCTCGGAGCCTGCGCCACAACCCTCAAACCTCTCCAAAACCCCAAAAAAGCCTAGAATCTGAATTCGCAAATCCCAAAACAACAAATCTCCAGACGCCCAAGAACCAAAAATTCCCAGCTAGCATGGAAGATGAAAAGCAAAGACGGAGTTGTGGCCTGTGGAACCCTTGAATGCTCCTGGCATCAAAGCCACGGAATTTCCAAAAGCTGCAGGTTTGAGGTGTAGAGTGTATCCCTAAACCCCAAGATGCGCTCTCCAAAGGCGGCCAAGAGCTTGCGGCTCGCGCCACAGGCCGCCAGCAAAGCTTCCGCGTCCCCTTCCAGTTCCAGCAACTCCCTTACAGCGCCTACTTGGCCTCATTAGGCCTTGCCCTCTAAGACCGTCTATGGACATAAATATTTTCTAGTAATAGTTCTGGAACGGAAAGCATCAATTCTCTTGTACATGGCTTGAGTCAAGTGAACAGTTTCCAAACCATGCAACAACTTACTTCGAATAATGGCATCGAATACGATTAATTTCCACTTCTTGCTGGCACATGTTGCTTTCCAATACGAACTGAGCTTAAACCAGGTGCGGCGAACCTCTTGAATCTTGCTCAATATTTCATGCTGAATGTTCACTTCTTGGTTGAGCTCGTTCCCTAAATATGTCGCCTCAAAGCTCTTCGTTAAAGCAGAGCCGTTTGCAAAGTGAATCTTTCCGTCATTATTCATAGGGATCGCCGCGCATTTTCCTCTGTTGAGGTGCAAACCATACTGTTTAGAGATTCTTTCTGTGAGACGCTCGTTCAGTCCCCGGTTTGATCGTGAGAAAAGGATGGTATCATCTGCATAGTAAATCATATCGTAGTCAAGACCTGGAATTCGATTATTAACAACATGGCAACTGACGGCTTCTCTGATGTCTGTGTCTATGCAAGTCATGACCATAACAAATAAAAAGGGTGAGAGAGGACATCCTTGCCGGATGCCTGATGATTGTACTTTCGTTTGGGAGGTACCGTATTCGTCTTTGACATAAAACTCTGGCTTTCGATAGCAGTCGTGTATCACATCCAAGTACTGATCAGGGAACCCCAATCTTCTCAAAGCTACGATAAGCTTATCATGCTGGACTTTATCGAAAGCCTTTTCCCAATCTAACAATGCAAGACTCAATGTTGATGAAGTCGATTCTGCGAAATCCTGAATACGTCTAACAATGACATCTGCATAGAATTTTAGGAATGCCCTCTACTTTCATCAACAGAGCCAACACGAATAAGAAATTTTTGCAGGCTGCTACAGCAGCAGCTTTTCCGACAAGGGGTGACCGCAGGGAAATATCAGCATTTAGCAATTACCATCAAGAGCGTAGGGCGAAATTGTTGGGGCATGTGCTTAGATCGGGTAATGAAGATCCTATGCGACAAATTTCGTTCTTGCCAGACACTGCTTGTAGAGTTGACTATGGAAAACGCAGAAGTGGTCGCCCCAGACAGAACTGGCTGCATTTCTCCAAAAAGTTTGTCTATGAGCAAAAGTTATCCAAAATTAATTTTAGTGGTTCTTGTGTTGAAGACACAGCTATTTACGAAGCAGCTCACAGACGAGAATTTTGATGCGAAGCTTATCTCTCCGCAGCTGCGCCAACGCCTTGCGCTTCACCGGCTGATTGGGTCAGTGCAGGGTATGGCTAGGAAGAAAAAAAAGGTTCTGGAACGGAAAGAGAAAAGGCCAGGAGCAGTTGGCCGAACTCTTCGGATTGCATCTGCTTGTCTTCGCAGCCTTTGCACAGAAAGCACATGAACGCACAATCGTCCACAACTTTGCTGCATCTGCGAATTAGGACCAAGCGATTAAGCCTTGTGTGGTGTGGCTTAAGCGGACGAAATAGGCTTCTGTTTGCTATCGTATGCTATCGTATACAACCACCAACTGAACCACACCAGCACGAGTTTCAAGCCTCCTGGAACGCTTGCAGCGTCACACAAGCCGCGTGCTCCGGTTCACAATGGATCTTGGAGCGGGCATCTTTTTCGGCGTTTCGTACGGCCTCACAGCAGGAGTCGTTGAGTTTGTGAAGTTTTGCCGCGTGAACAGTGAGCCTGTCAAGGTTAACATGCCATTCATGCTATGTGCCAGGATTTGGTGCTTCGGCAGCAACTACAGGGGCTGCTGGTAGCACAGCTGGCGCAGCTGCTGTCGGTGGCGCAGCCACTGCAAGTGCAGCAAGCACATGGATTGCGACGCTGTTTGCAGCAGCTTCACGGATGCAGCAATGGATGTCTCCACTGAGTATGACTTGGCTCATCATAGCGCTGTGTTTGTGATTGAATTTTGGGTGTTGTGGAGGTACCCCTCCCTGCATGAAAGCTTGTACCTTTCAAGCAAGGTTCAAAGCAAAGCTTGTTTGCCCAGGGAAATAATTTCTACGCCCCGAGATATGGCTAGGACCCCCAATGCGAGTACTGAGATGCAAAATAATTTGTTTTCTAAGGCTTCGCCTTTGCTTGCCCCTGTCGGTGTGATGACCATTGGCTTGACTTCGGCCGCTTCTGGTTTGTCTTCAGCTGCTTCGGCCTCTCTCAGCTTGTCGCAGAACCGCGGCCCCGTTCTTCTTGGACAAGGCAACTTCGGTACGGTCTATCGGGAGCAGTTTCATGGCCAGGATGTGGCAGTGGGAAGCTCAGTACCTCCAGCGCCAACGTTTGTGCACTGCATGCAGTTTGTGTCCATGCTGTGCTGGGATGGCGCTGCCAATCAGCGCAAAACCGATTGAATCTATGGAGGAAGAACTTTTCCTGCTCGGCCTGGCAGCCTTCGCTGCGGGGCTTGGCAGCATCAGCGCATCGCGAAAACCGATTGAATTTATGAAGGAAGAACTTTTCCTGCTCGGCCTGGCAGCCTTCGCTGCGGGGCTTGGCGAAAACCGATTGAATTTATGAAGGAAGAACTTTTCCTGCTCTGCCTGGCAGCCTTCGCTGCGGGGCTTGGCAGCATCAGCGCGACAACCGATTGAATTTATGAAGGAAGAACTTTTCCTGCTCTGCCTGGCAGCCTTCCCTGCGGGGCTTGGCAGCATCAGCGCGAAAACCGGTTGAATTTATGAAGGAAGAACTTTCCCTGCTTGGCCTGGCAGCCTTCGCTGCGGGGCTTGGCAGCATCAGCGCGAAAACCGACTGAATCGATGAACGAAGAACGTCATGACTTGCGCCGCCATGGGTCCAGCAAGGTGAAGCGGCTGGCGACTGGCAGTGCAGCACGCGAAGCAGAATTGCTTCGGGTGTGTACTGGAGAGCACGTCGTCAAGCTCATTGGCGCAACCGAGCATTACCTGGTCATGGAGCTCTGTCACGGAATGATGCCGACAAAAGTGGGATGCGCCAAGTATGTTTGCAAGGCGAGCTTTCAGCTGCTGTGCCTTGGCAGCTAGCATGACCGTGTGAACTAACGGCAGCTTTACATCCTCTGCTGCGCAAAAAGGCTTGAATTTAGGATGCTGTGATGCGGCCTGGGGGACTTGCAAGAGCATCCACCATGGCAACTGCTGTAGTTCCAGAATTTGCACAGAACTGCTAGGTACTGTTGCAAGAAGCATTTGATGTTCGCCTTGTTGCTTCGCCGAGGAACGCTGTCGCACACTTGCATTCTAAAAACGTGGTGCACAGGGACATCAAAGCAGCAAATATCCTCACGACGTCGGCTGGAACTATCAAGCTGGGCGATTTTGGAAGCGCTGAGTGGTCTTCTGCCGAAGACCGCCATATCAATGTGAAAGGTTCGCTCACGAACTTGGCGCCGGAAGCACTTCCACGAGAACCGGGCCAGGAAGAGGCTGCAGCTCCCTTCGCAGGTCGTCCAGTTGATGTCTGGGCAAGCGCTGTGACGCTTTTCGAACTGGCTGCTGGCTACCCACCTTGCCGAGGACAGACGTTGCAGCAGTTGTTTGCGAGCATCAAGCGAGGTGTCCTTTCTAAAGAGTTCACGGGACTGATCGTGAGCCCAGACGCTCTTGGTGGGTATTGGCTTGTGAGAACGGCTCTGATTCAAATGTTCGAGTTGCAGCCGGAACGCAGGTGCTCCGCAATGGATGCCAGCAGAAGGCTCCACAGCGGTCGTCCTTCGCATGAGTTCTTACCGGGCGGAAAGCGACGAAAAGTGTGCTAAGTGGAAAGTGCCACATGGAGAGCTCGGATGGGAGTAATTCGAGCAGAACGAAGTCTGAATGCACAGCGGCTCTGGCAAGTTGTTGTGCTATTGGTCTTGCTTCCTGATCTTGGACGGAGTGAGCGCTCCGCAAGGAGAAATAATGGATTGCAGTAAGAACCTAGTGGAAGCCATTTGATGCCATGACCCGCGAGAAGTGTTGAAGAAAGGATTCCTTTCATATTATATTCATAATTCCTCTCCGGGTCGCGTGACAGACCGCCTCCATTGATTTGAAGGACCTGGCCCGGCCTGACCTGGCCTGTGCCGGTATTGTACATGCATGCTGTAGCGGAGTGAAACCAACTCCGGCCCAGCTCTGGCTTTCAACAGGTGTGATCCAAGGATGGGCTGCTAAACACGTTTGGAGTTTACGAAATCGTGTGACCTGTTGGGGGGGGGGGAATCTGGAATTCATACAGAGCCAGGAATGGTTTTGTACGGGCTTTCTAAAGGTGTTATGAGGGCTTTATAGGGATTTTGTCGGATCCGGTTTAAAGTTCTCAAATCGTTGCCAGAAGGCTTACACACAGTTTTCGGGTTTAGGGGTTTCGGGTCTGGTGGTGTCGCCAAGCCCAAGCCGAAGTCAGACTGGATGTCGCCTCGCGTTTCAGGGACTTGACAGTGTGCATGTACGTTTGAGCCCAACGTGTACATCGAACGTCCAGAAACCGTAGAGTAATGTTTGTAGCAGGCCTTATGCAGTAGTCTTATAGTAACCCCTCCAGTAACCCTCGAATACTCCTTATAGCATCCTCTCCGGTCACCCGAAGATTTGTTTTTTAGGTAATCCTTACAGTGACTTTTATGGTATCCCTTATAGTGCTCCTTCTTTTTTGGTGGGGCTCCCTTTGCAACCCCTGTGCTCGAAAGTCCAAGTTTTTGGCAGGCCCTGGAGGAGCGGCGCTTCCGCTTCTCCGTTCAGCCTCCTGGGCTCTGGGAGCTGGAGTTGAGGGTTTCCGGGTTTAGGGATTTGGGATTTAGAGTTTAAGGTTTCCGGGTTTCGGGATTTAGGATTTAGGGTTTAGGGTTTAAGGTTTAGGGTTTAGGATTTAGGATTTAGGGTCCGGGGCATGGCTCCAGAGATAATGGGCTCGATAGAAGGTATGGGTTACTAGTAGGGTTACGCCAAGTGTTCGGGGGTTGCTAGACGGCTAATGTACATGTTACTATAAGGGTTACTATAAGGTTTGCTATAGCATTTTATTGCAAGGCTGACTGTCAGACCTACTGTATTTTAGAAGTACATGTAGCCTGATTATTTGCGAGTCTTGGGGGGGATATTGGTGTCCTTTGAAGGGGACAAGCATATTTAGTTGGTGTTTGAAGATAGTTGCTCTTGGAACCTTGTTATGGGGTTTGATTTCGCCAATACGGCTTTTGTCACTGCTGCTGCTGCAGCTGCTGCTGCTCCTCCTACTGCTACTGCTACTGCTACTGCTACTGCTACTGCTACTCCTACTCCTACTCCTACTCCTACTCCTACTCCTACTCCTACTCCTACTGCTACTGCTACTGCTACTCCTACTCCTACTCCTACTCCTGCTCCTACTCCTACTCCTACTCCTACTCCTACTCCTGCTCCTGCTCCTGCTCCTACTACTACTACTACTACTACTACTGCTACTACTCCTGCTGCTGCTACTACCACTACTACTACTAGTACTACTACTACTACTACTACCACCACTACTACTACTACACCACCACCACCACCACCACCACCACCACCACCACCACCACCACGACCACCACGACGACGACGACGACGACGACTGCGACGACGACGACGACGACGACTACGACGACTACGACGACGACGACGACTACGACTACGACGACTACGACGACTACAACTACGACTACGACGACTACAACTACGACTACGACTACGACTACGACGGCTACGACTACGACTACGACTACGGCTACGACTACGACTACGGCTACGACTACTGCTACTACTACTCCTACTACTACTACTACTACTACTACTACTACTATTACTACTACTACTACTACTACTACTACTGCTACTACTGCTTCTACGACGACGACGACGACGACGACTACTACTACTACTACTACTGCTACTACTGCTTCTACGACGACGACTACTACTACTACTCCTGCTGCTACTACTGCTACTGCTACTCCTGCTGCTACTCCTACTGCTACCACTGCTACTACTACCGCTACTATTGCTACTACTGCTACTACTGCTACTAACTGCTACTACTACAATAAGCCCAGGTTGTTGGAGATGCACCTGGACAGCCTCCGAGTGGACGATGCGTCTCGGCTCTTGCTGAGCTGTCGAACGTGAGCCGTCGCCGAGTTTTAGGCTTTATTCTTTGGCAGCTTTGAAGGCGGGAAGCACTCTGACAAGGGTGTCTGTGGAATGCTGCATTCCGCCAGTGCACGCGGGGTGGTTGTCGTGCGGTCGTCGTGGATCCCTGCATAGCGCAAAGGACCCTGCCAAGAGCCGTGGCGACAGGGTGCGTGAGAACAGGTCGTGTAGGGTTTTCTGTTTCTTACTACCGGTGCAGCATGGCAAAGGTCTCCGCAAACTCGACTGAAGCCTTGACTACAACGCATAAACCTGAGAAAGCACCAGACCCCCCAATCCTTACACCTTTATCTCTCAACCCTAAGTCGCAAAGCCCCAAACCCTAAAGTTCGGCCCGAAACCCTCAACCAACCAAGCCCTCAACGCGAAGATGGAACTCCAAATCCCATAATACCAGCGATGTTCTGAATCTACCCTGTTGCGCTAAGGAAGGTTTTGTTTTGTAATGCTATCAAAGGGCTGCTCTGGTGAGGTACATGAGCTCATCACGGTCCTCCGGTGCTTGCAGTATGGCACATCTGAGCAGGGGCTGACGACTCGTTCGCTAAGGCGGGCGGCAGCCTTAAGGGCTTGGGCGTGCTTGGGTTTTAGGGTTTAGGGTTGAGCTAGGGTTTAGGGTGTAAGGTTTAGCTAGGGTTTAGGATTCGGGGTTTGGGGTTTACGGTTTAGCTAGGGTTTAGGATTTAGGGTTTAGGGTTTAGGGTGCTTGACGATGCACGGATCATAGTGCGCAAGATCTCTGGTGTAGGCTGTGGCACAGGGGGGTGCAGAGTGTGCGTGGTCAAGGCCATGTGCTTACGGTGCTTGCAGAGGGTTTAGGCGTCGTGTCAGCCGTAAACCTCGGGCCGGCCGAGGTTCACAAGCACTCTACCCCCAGTTTGCTAGGGCATATGGATAGTTCTCTAAATCAGGGCCAGGGTCCGTTTTGAAGTCCCCAATCAAGTACGGCACCTTCATAAAAAAGGACCCCCAAAAAGGGGATCCTCATTTAGAGAACTGCCCACAAAAAGCGGCACAGTGCTTCTGTTTCTGGAAGCCGGGCCTTAGAGCTTCGACCTGGGCCGTCAACCCGAAAGTCTCACAGGGTTTAGGGTTTAGGGTTTAGGGTTTAGGGGCTTATGCATTAAACCATTCCTGCCGCCCAGAAGCAGAACAAGAACAGGTTGCGGGGGCTAGGTTCTGCTAGAAGACGATGCGGCGGGATTTATAGAAGACGCGACATTGTATAGAAGACGCGACATTGTATGTCGATTTTTACTGCGGCAAGGTCCCCAACTCTCACCCACCCTCAAATCTCCAAACCCTCGAACCTTTACAGAGAACCCTGATAAGACAACTGTAAGCTCCAAAGCTGTCGTTGGCTCAGAGGTTGCTCAAAGCTTTCCTCGAAGAGCACATGAGCCTTCATGCCGCCTTGCCCATTTCAGGCTTTAGTCAGGGGCATGTCTATAACGGCTTCAAAGCTTCCAATATACCAGCATGACACTCTGCCTGTCTCAAGGGTGTTCTCGGAACTTAGACATTCCATTTGGAAGCTTGCAGGGTTGAGAGTTGGGGGTTCGTTCTTTGACGAAGGGGTATTGGAGTTTCCGCGAGTGTCTTGCAAGTTGGGTTCCGAGATGTTCAAGACAAGCATGTTGACAGTTGCCTGGGCTTTAGGGCTCTTGGGCCACGCATTTGCGGGGTGGTTAACCAGTGCTTCCTGATACACGAAGGAGGTCGTTTTGAGACTGGGTGTTCTGGACCGGACAGCTTGGATTCAACACAGGACCTGCTGCGGACACCTAGGGAATCGGATCCATGGAACGTGTCGCGAGTGCTGAGTTCTGGGTCTTCAGCAGAGGCACAGAACTGTTAGTGTCGAAGACAACTTCCCAGTCCCAGAATTCGACACTAAGTCCGGGTCAGCAGTTGCTGCTCAAACTTCTGGGTTTGGAGCTCGTTCCACCCAACCATCCATGTGCTACGATGACTTCGGCGACGACCGCTCCTGCTTAGTGTTGTGCTGTGGATATTGCTCCAGAACACGGCCACTACTCTGTCACTGCTGCCAAAAACAACTGCTGTTGCGACAGCTACCAATGACCGCTGCTGCTGTGACGGTACCACCAACGACGACTAAGTCAATCATGACTATCGTGACGACTTTTGCGACTTCTTCACCTACCGACCATCGGCACAAAAATGCTTCTCAACACTGCAGAAGTTACCGTTTGTTGCGAATGTTGCTGAGCAAGATGATGATCCTGCTGAAGAAGAAGATGATGATTTTGATGCTGATGATGCTGCTGTTGTTGCTGCTGCTGATGATGTTGTCTGATGGTCAGGATGATGACGATGGTGCTGATGCGTCCGTTGTATTAGGATGGCTTTCGGAGTCAAGCGTCTTCAGCAACTTTCCTCCATTCCGAGGATCGCGCACTGCAGCAAGGCGTCGTCCAAACAGTCGTCGATGTCATGCGCCTTTGGCATACATTAAGCTCGGATCATAGGTTATGATTTAGGGTTATACTGATGATGACAATCAGGTGTTTTTTCGGAGCGACCGGGCTGGGGACCTCTTCTCCGAGTTGTCCGAGTTGGCAGCGTTTCGCCGGAGTGGTTTACACATTTCTCCATCGCAGTAACTTTGTGGTGCGTTGCGTCTAGGCATGTGCGACCGAAGAGCATTCATGATCTCTTTTCCCGACCGCTTTAGGGCTGTTGGGGCGTTTTGAGATGCTCAAGGTTTGTCGATGCCTTAGAAGGTGCTCGGCAAGTCCTGAGTTCATCGGACCCCGAGCTGACAAGGGCCACAATCCCCTTTATTGAATCTGTTTGGGATACCATAATCCCTGTTTGTAATCCCGATATACTCCTAAAGCTTAACTCTTAGACCCCTGCATGTTACCACCACAAACGAGCCCAAAGCCCGAAGGCCGCTTCCGTAGATCTGTAGCCCCGCTTTAGACCCGCAGGCCTCAACATGCTAAAGCCCTTAAAGGGATCCTTAGGTTCATAAGGGTTTCTATAGGGTTCCTTTAAAGGGATCTATAAGGATTCCTTTAAGGGATCTTAGGTCCCCAATACCTAAAAGTCCCAAAGCTCCAACAGTCCCAGAGCAGCAGCGCCTGAAACCTTCAAAACCGCAGGAAAAGCCAGCCGGAGGTTGGCAGGGACTTCCAAGGGGAGCCTAGCTTCGTCGGTTTTGAGTGCAGTTGTAGGGCCTGCAGGCTTTAGGGCGAAGGGTTTTGGGGTGTAATTGGTAGGGTTTAGGGTCCCGTTGATGTCTACTCAGGAGCGTTGAGGGGTTCGGGGGTCTAAAATTCAAGCTCTAGGTTGTTCGGGCTCGCCTCTGGGCCACAACGGGTTCAGAGTATAGAGTATGGGGACCTAACTTGCACTCAGGCGGAGGCGAGGTCTTCGGTATTTGAGCCGAGTTGCTCTAAGTTCTGGGGAACTAAGTCGACCCTAGTTGCAGGTCTCCAAGCCCATGCTACGCCAGAAAACTGCAAACATGGCGGATTCCGGGTTCAGAGTTTGGGTGGTCATGATGTGTGGATAGTGCTTCGGAGCCAAGAAGAGAGGTGATGGTGTTTTTCTGTCACTACTAAGTTAACTTCTGGTAGCAATCGCGATATCGCTCGTAGGAGTAGTAGTAGTAGTAGTAGTAGTAGTAGTAGTAGTAGTAGTAGTAGTAGTAGCAGTAGTAGTAGTAGTCGTCGTCGTCGTAGTCGTAGTCGTAGTCGTAGTCGTAGTCGAGTAGTCGTAGTAGTACAATAGTAGTAATCGTCGTCGTCTTCGTCCTCGTCCTCGTCCTCGTCCTCGTCCTCGTCCTCGTCCTCGTCCTCGTCCTCGTCCTCGTCCTCGTCCTCGTCCTCGTCCTCGTCCTCGTCCTCGTCCTCCTCGTCGTCCACGTCGTCGTCGTCGCAGCAGCAGCGGCAGTACAGGTACCAGTACAAGTACCATTGGCAGGATCAGTCGAAACCTGAGCTGGCAGATGATTTGATGCACGATGACCGGCGTCGAGGTTTAGTTGGGCACGTCATGTCATGAACTTGGGCGACGTTCTCTCCGGTTGTTGCAGGAGAAATTAAATTCAAGGTAGTGGCACCTACGAAAGGGTTCCAACAGGTTTCCTCAAAGAGTTTGGTAGCACTGTCTGAAGCCCTAAATTTGGAGAGAGGGAAACCAGGTAGGCTAATCTGGTGGCGCCCCTTCAGCCTAGCTCTAAGGCTCCTTGAAATGATTTTAACGCTACGCCGCCTGCCTCGGCTCCTCAAGGGCAGAGGCCGGATGAAACGGCAAAGCCTTCTGTATCACTCAGGAAATCTGTTCAGGTCACGGCTATGTTGAGATTTCCTTGTGCAGGACTCCCACGATTCAACAGGTGCGCGGGCGCCGTAGAGCTGCTTTTTCAGCGAGACATGTCAGCGTGCGGTAAGGAGGAACGAACAGGTGTCACGCAGGGTTTAGGGACCAGCATGGCCACGCGCGGCAGGGGACTGGGCGGTGGCAAATGAATGCAAAAAGCGGGTGTCTCCGGAGGGTACTTCCCCAAAACGCCTGGGCCTGTGGCCTCAGGGTACCGCAACGGGTCTGGACATGGGTCCGGGTCCAAAAATGGATCCAAAAGTGGTTGACTGGATTTGAAAATGGGTCCGGGCCCGAAAACGGGTCGGGCATAAACATGGTTTTTTCCTAGGTTTTGCTGTTTTCAGGCGAGGCCCACAGCCGCACGGCCGAACCAAGCCCCGAAAGCTGTGCTCGCCGTGCCAGGCACTACCACATCATTTTCCGCTTCAAGGCCGTTTTCGCGCACCTGCAGATTGCAAAGTCTCTTCGGGGGAAAAGTATCCATGGGCACTTTTCGTTCAACCTCGTAGGTTACCAGGCCTATCTTCAATATTGCTTGCAGCCTTCGGCCCACAAGCTGCAAGCAGATCTCGACATGGAGCCCTGGTCGGTTCCCTGACGGCAAAGCAAAAAGCGGGTTTTTGCTGACATTCAGTGAAGTTACAGCCTGTTTTGTGGAGGCAAACGTTAAGTCCACAAAGGATGCCTGGCTTCTTGCAAAGAAGCGCAAGTTGGCAGGCGATGATCTTCTTCTCAACACCCTCGGGGCCGCGAATGATGTGAACAGTTCGGTTGCCAAGGTCGTTGTCCTTGCGTGGATTTGCGAAGACATGCCAACTGGCACGCTCATGTTCGATGGCCAGTTTTCCTTGCAACAGCTTGTTTCGCTGGGCGCCATTCATCCGGACCTTCCGCAGTGGATCTGTAAGAGTCATGTTTCGAATGTTCTCCATTCTCCAATGTGATGGAGGTCTCGGCAAAACGGAGTTGGCCTGCGCAATCATGGCCGTCATATGCAGAGGCAAAGGCTCTCATTGCGTGAACAAGCTGGATCGACTGCGAGAAGTAACCTTCCTGCCCCATCAAGGTCTTATCGTGGTTGAACTTTGCTTGCACAATCGGGACATTGATGATGTGAAAGGCCTTCTCGATCTCGCAAGGCGCAGGGATGTACAGCGCCGCAACAAGGATGGCGGCATCCCAGCACGTTGCCCTCGCATCCTTAATACCATTTGAGGTTGTAGAACAAGGGGGGTTTGTGTAGGTCAGTCTACGATGCCGCTGGTGTGGTTTAGCTTGTAAAACGATAAGAACTAAGAAACGATAAGGTCTATATTCAATATGTGCTACATAAGTACTAGTCCTAGTATGATTAGTGTTACGAGTAGTGCCAGTACTGCGAGTGCTACTACTGCTAGAAGTAGTGCTAGTGTCTGCTGATTAGTGTTAGGGGTACGTCTTGTAGTATGATAAGTCCAGTTATAGTACAATGTTCCTACTTCCACTGCTACTGCTGCCGCTACTTCCACGGTCTACGGCTTCCGCTGCTGCTACTATTGCTACTGTTACTGCGTTTACTACTGCTAGTGTTGCTGTTATTGCTTCTGTCACTGTTGTTCTACTGCTCCTGCTGCTGCTGACGCTGTTGCTGATATACGACTGCTGCTGTTGTTGTTGGTGCGACTACTTGTAGCGCTGCTATTGCTGCTTCTGACCAGAACAAGGAGGTAGCAAGAACAGCGACAGGGATGTGGTCGAAGTGCACAGTGCAGCTGCAGCAAAGTGGCCCAAGCAAAGTCCTAGCGGAGCCAATGGCGGGCGAAGTCTGGCCAGAGTACAGAGTCAAGTCCGCCTCGAGTTCCATTGTGAATTCCAACATGGGTGCTGTGTGGTTCCACTCTCTGCCGCAGGCAGCGGTCAAAGCAGCAGTCTATGGGATGCCCAGTCCAGCTTTGAACGTTGTGATGGAAGACTTATGAACCTTATCGCATGCTCTGCCCCTTGTACACACCCTCTCGGCAATCCCACCGCTTGAGTGGGCGGGCATCTCAACTTCTGTACGTTGCACTGGAAGTTTCATGAATCACTAAGCGAAAGTGAATGACCCGGTAAATTCTTGAGAGTAGTGCTCCTGCTCAGCTTTGCACGTTGCGTTGGAAGGTTCACGAACCTGATCACTAAGCGTGGTGCGTCCCCGCCCTTTTGTACACGCCGTCCCAACGCTCCAACCGATTGAGTGGGCAGCTTAGCCTCCGGACGTTGTGTTGTTGGAAGTTTTCCAAATCTTGTCACGAAGCGGAGGTCTCTGCCTTAGTACACATTGCACATTCGCTGAGAGAGCGGCTCAGCTTGTGGAAGTTGCGTTGGAAGTTTCTTAAACCTTGTCGCTGGGAGTCTGGGTGAGGGTGAGGGTGGGCTGAGGGTGACACACTGCACGTCGCAAGTTTCATGAACCTTATAGATAAGTGGCGGTCACCTTCCCGTCGCTGCTACCGATGAAGTGAGCAGCTCAGTATCTGGACGTTGCGCTGGAAACTTCCTGAGCCTTCTCACTGAGGAAGGTAACCGACGGTTCCATCGCGACCTGAGATCTTGGTGTACGCGCGTGTGTGTGTGTGTGTGTGACACTTGTGCGTGCTTGATTCAGCTGAAAATTGTGAATACATGGACACCGCTTGCAACGGTTTTGTGCTGCCACATTGACGTGGCGTGTCGAATTCAATTGTCGTTCAGTCGTGCTCAACCAGAGTTTGCCAGACATCCACCTACCCAGCGGTGTGCAGCGGCAGCGGGCAGCCAACTGGTTCACTCGTGTTCAGCCAGGCTGAGCTCGAAGGGCATCCCACTGCCCCGTGCCGAGTTTCGAGAGTTTGCAGAGCATCCACCTAGTTTGATGTTTTCGACCAGCTTGGTGGAAGCGATCCTACGCAGCGGTTTGCACAGGCAGAGGGCATCCAACTGCCCTGCAGCTCACAGAGTTTGACATTTTTATATTTCAGACCCATTGTTTTTGCATTGTTTTCGTAATAATACTTTTTCCACGAATCGCAGTCGTAGTGTTAGGCTGATAGGGGGCGGCGCGACCCTAAATGCTAAATAGGATTGAAAGATAAGTCCTAGACCCCAGAAGCGCGGAGGCCAAGCTCCGAAACCCCAAATTGAGCCTCAAACCGAGTGCGTTTAAGCTTGCGTCCTGCAGGTGGACATCTTGACCAGCGGCGTCGCAGTTCTCGGAGCGGCCACGTGGTTTGCATACCTCGGTCGAAATACTTACAGGCCAAGCAAGATACCTTGAACCCCCTGAGTCCCCTGATCCGCCGTAGCTTCCCAACAGCACCCGAAAAAGATTCCCAAACCCGTAAAAGAACCTGTGCCATCGAGGTCCTCCAGGGCTCCGCCAAGCGCGGGGGACTCGGCTCCGAGGCGCAGGCGCTCTGCGGCGGCGGCACTGCGGTGGCTTCGGCGCCGGCGCCGCAGCCGCAAAGTTGGTCAGGTTTTCTTTTGTTGTTCATGGGGATATGTTTCGGTATTTTCGGTCAAGCCGAGGAGATTTTTGGGGACGCTGTTTATCATGGGGTTTGGGGTTTAAGGCATTGTGGTCTAAGGATGTTGAGGATTTCGGGAGGTTTGATAAGGGGTGATGCGTTTCAGGAGTCGTTTGGGGTTTTCGTAAAGGTTCTTTAGGAATCTTTCAAGATCTTCACGGGAGTCTGCGGACTTTTTAGGTTTGGGTTTCACAAGTGTTGGGATCTTCATGCTGCTAGGCGGCTAAGCATGAAGTTCTTGCCAAACGATCTAAGACATGCGCAAAAAGAATGAGAAGCCAAGGAGAGATAGAGAGGGGAAAGAGACAGAGAGAGAGGGCAACGAGACATGACGATTAAGTATATCAAGATATGCATGTATATGTGCATGTACAAAACATGGACTTACGTAGATGCACTCATACATATTCTCAGTTGCTGTTATGCTTGTTTTGTCACCTCCGGCCCTTGCGCACTGACGTCATCACAATTCTGCCGTCACTAGCGGGATGATCAGCATCAACATCAGCATCATCAACAACAGCAGCATCATGATTGTCAGCAGCATGCGATCATCATCATCATTGTCAGCATCATCTTCATCTTCATCATCATCAACATGATGGTTATCCCGCAAGCATCATCAACATCGCAGCTTCCTGCTTCGTCATGATGCTCCATCTTCGGTTGCATATCAGTGTAGACGATGACTCACTAGCAGCAGTCTCACATCCCAACATCGCAAAACATCCCAGCAATCCCAGCCGTTTTGTTACATAGCAGCCCCGAAAGAGTAGGACACATCCAAACAACTCGGCAATTCCAGAGCCAGGTGTTCAACACCAGAATTGCCCAAGATTCCGACATCCTGAGGAAGACCTCGTGACCAACATCTCCAAGTGTGGAGGTGTTCCGGCGATCGTCGACGGAGCCTTGGAATGCATGGAGATTTCAACTATGATGATGTTGTTGTTGCCGCTGCTGCTGCTGCTGCTGCTGCCGCTGGTCGTCGTCCTCGTCGTCGTGCTTGGTCTCATTCTTGTCCCGTTTCTCGCCGTATGCGTCCTTGCCCTCGACAGTGTCTGACTGCTTGAAGCCCAAGTCTGCATTTCTTCCTTTCCCAGACATGAACTGACTGAGCATCATTAAACACAAAATCCTTGAATCCCTGATTCACCTGCTAGCATGTCGCTGTAGACCAGCCAAACTATCCCATCCTCATAACTCACAACTTGAAGCTGGAACATGAAGCCCCAAGCCCTGAACCTTAGGCCTTGTAGGCACTATGCCCTACACGCTCAGACCCTAACTCACAGCCCCGTACCTTTCCTTACGTTCTAAACTTCAGGCCTTAAACCCTAGGCCCTAAACCCTAAGCGCCGAAGCCCTGAGCCCCGAAGCCCTCAGCCCGAGTCTTTCGGAAGTCTCCCGAAGCACAGGAATGCAGCGCTTCCCTGCCTGTGAGGGGCTCCAGGTGTGTTCCTGGGTTAGTCGCGGTCCCAAGCGCTTCAGTTATGGTCAGACGTGATTACAGACAGGTACGTCCCCCGATTGTTGTTTGGGGCTTGGGGTGCACAGTAGGGGTTGGGGGGTCAGGATCCAGGGATGAGTGTTCCAGTGGCTCTACGCTAGTCTATTTCCAATCAACAAGAGGTCATTGAGGTTTAGTGAGGCTGTGTCGTGTCCGACTGGAGAAGGTTTGTAGGTTTGTCGGGTTTAGTGCGTTTAGGGTTTGTGTGGCAGGTTGTGGGTTTCTTTCCAGGTTCTCGTTTGGTTCACTCACTCACTCTTCTCTGATAGGTTCTTTGCCCGAAGAAGAGAAAGCCGAAAACCTCATGGCATCAGACCTCAATGTCAAAACGATGGACATCACTGAGTTGAAGTCCCCGTCTCGAGTTTTTGGGATCTGGGTTTTAGAGTGTAGCTCTGGGAGGAGCGTGGCTGTTGCTGCCTAGCGCTCCTCACGACCGGCGGTGCAGACGACAACAAGGCTGCAAAAGGGATACTCCCTTTTGCTTGCAGATGCTCCGCGCCATGGCCCCTGGCTTGAAGGAACAGGCTTAGCGTCGCAGGCCGAGGGTTTCGGTCTTCGGTTTTCAGGGCTTAGGACTTAGGACTCACAGGGGCTCTTCTCTTGGGCTCTTTAGGCTAGTGGTGGGGGCCTTTGAAAGTGTACGGGGTTTCTTATGATTCTCCGTCAGGTCTCCCCGGACTACGAGAAAGGTCGGCACGCAGAGTCCTCCGTGATGCTGTTGCCGGTCTGCAGCGAAGTGCTTTCCGAGATGTGTTATGGTCTAGCGAGGCTTCTGAATGAAATCCCAGAGTCTGCATTTTCTGGTTTGCGGCTGCTTTGCTCTTGTCTACTGATTGCCAGTTTTATCAGCTCTCGCGTTCAGAAACGCACAAAGCAAGGATTGCTGTTCGTTGATTTGTCGTTGCCTGCCTAAAGCTTTCGTTTCTCGCCCTATGGTAGGGGTAGGGTGGTATGGATGCCTTGCTTGTTCCTCCGGTTCGTCGGAACCTGACCTGATCTGATTGCACAGAGCAGTTATTGCTGGTGAGCCTTCCACCCTCCGCGCCAAGCTCCCGAACCCGCAGGTTTGGGAGGGTCGAGCCTTAGGGCTCTTAATTCATTCCAAGCGGAAAGCATCAGGGAAGCTCAACAACAGCAAGCTCGGAAGGCAAAACCCTGAAGATGTCGACTTATGCACGGTCAGAGTGCAGCATTCCACGCGGCGAGTTCAGTTTCCAACTGTATAACCCTAAGCCCTAACCACGAAGCGCAGCGTTGTGGGTTCTGTTGCTATTCACTCAGGGATACCGAGGAGCTGTGACATCATACATGCAGCAGCAACAACAGGTTAGTCTGCAGCTAGTGACAAGACTGAGTAGCAGTCTACTACAGTATCAAGGTATGGTTCTAGCACGGTGCTGGCTTGTGGGGAACGGTTAGACAAGGCCGTGCTCAGCTTGACCTTCTCTGCAGGTCTTGGGTTGGGAGGTGGGTCCCTGTGTTTGGCGGCCGAGACGCAAGAAGCATGTACGATCTGACTGAAGTCGTACATGTTCTTGCGCCTTGTCTTGTGTTTTCGGTGGCGGGACTGACCATGGTACCAGCCCTATACACGCCACAGACGTTGCAGCATCCTGATCTGGAAGAGGGTGGCCCGAGTTGCAAAGCCGTGAGCACTCCGTCGATAGTTCCGTGGTCTCGGAGTCGAGGTGGGACGACTTGCCCCTCGCGATTGGTTTCGTGTCATGCTGGCTTCTGAGTCTTCCATGAGTTTGTGCTCGCCGTGGCCTGTGAAAAGCCGAGTATGCAGTTGGTGGGGCGCGGTGGGACGGGATGGGTGGATCGCCGAAGTTTGTGGACCATCCCGGGAGACGTGGACAAACTTCTCTGAGACTCTGGCGCAGACGAAGAACGCACAAGAACTCCGGGAAACAGAGCTTGAACATCGATTTTTTCCCCGAATCGTTAGCAAAGAGCCCAGGCGGGGGCAGAGTCGGCGGCTCATCGTCCGTCAAGGCCCCGTCTGGCAGTTGGCTCGCGCCTTGCGCTCTCTGGTTGTCACGTGTCCTAAGCGGCGGTGATACGGTGCCCGCAACGCCCTGCACACATGCATCTATGTATACATATATCAGATAGTAATTATATATCTATATACGTATATATACACATCCATATATGTTTCTGTAGATATATTTGTATTTTTTTTATGAACATACGTACATGCATACATATGTAATATGTACATACATGCATGCATACATACATATCCACACACACACACATATATACATATGCGTGTATACAGTACGCAAGCGGTATTGTTCTGTGGCGACATGAACTATCAACCCTAATGCTTGTGACGGACCTCGCTTAGTCTTGGAAGGCTTCCTATGGAGAACAAGTAAGCAAGCGACAATACCGATTGAACAAATCCAAGTCTATGCCCCCACCCACACAGCCCAAGGTTAGGATCTGAAGCTTCGAAGTCCTCGAACGCAATGATAACATGATTCCCAAGCCTCTGCACCTTTCGAAGAAAGATCCTTGACACCACGAGCGGAGGCGGTATGGAACTGCTCCTTGGCGCCATGCGGCGCTTCCCACGGAACGGTTTGCTGCAGGCCTACTCTTGAAGTTAACCATTAACCAAATGTAGAAGTGACGGTGGTGGTAGTGGTGGTGGTGGTGGTGGTGGTGGTGGTGGTGGTGGTGGTGGTGGTTGCAGCAGTAGCAGTACTAGCAGTAGCAGTACTAGTAGTAGTAGCGGTAGTAGTAGTAGAAGAAGGGAGTAGTAGTAGTAGTAGTAGTAGTAGTAGTAGTAGTAGTAGTAGTAGTAGTAGTAGTAGTAGTAGTAGTAGTAGTAGTAGAAGTAGTAGCAGTAGTAGGAGTAGTAGTGGTAGTAGTAGTAGTAGCAGCAGCAGCAGCAGGAGTAGTAGTAGTACCAGTCGTGGTGGTGGTGGTAGTAGTAGTAGTAGTAGTAGCAGCAGCAGTAGGGTGGTAGTAGGCAGGCAGGAGGTGGAGGAGGAGGAGGAGTAGGAGGGGGAGGAGCGATAGGAGTACGAGTGGGAGTAGGAATATGGCAAAGGCTCGCAGTAGTGGCAGTACTACGTCTCGCTTGAAGCCTGAAGTCCTGAACCTCGACACCTCAACTTGTCTCTGCAGGCCCGACGTCCCAAGGCCAAATCCACGGCCGTCGAACAACAAGAGTCGCTCTAACCCTCATGCCACGTAGAAACCACCAGACTGCAACAACGCAGCTTCGGAGGTTCTATGCTCAGACGCCTCGAGTCGCGAAAGTTGTTCGAAGGCCCTTATCATCTCACGCTCCTCATAGAACCGACACTGCGCACTGTAACCAGACTCCCAAACTTCGCTTCAATCTTCCACTTCCCAGCGCCTGGACCCCAAACCGCCATTGTAAAGTCTCCAAACCCTGAGCCCTGAACCCGAACCCCGAAGCTTGCAAACTCGAAGCATCATCTTTGCTGAGACCTTCGCGTGCCTGGCCGTGGGGCAAGTTGCCAGCTCGGAGCTTCAGGCGAAGGCCAGGCGCGGCTTTATTTGGGTCTTCGGGTTTAGGGTTAAGGGACGAAGAAGAAGAGAAGCCAGACCGCACCATTCCGCTAAAACGGTCGAAAGCCAGGTCAGCATAAGCTCCCGGAGCCCCGATAAAGTAAGTCCGAGTTTCCCTCCACACCGCCAGTTTGCCCTGCCCAGACAACTTGAAACTGACAGGAGGTGGCCTCAGAGAAAGGCGCAGCGGTGCTGCTGCTGCAGGCGGAGCCAACACAAGTTTAGCGCCAGGTTAGGGGTATTGGATTAGCAGCGACAGACACAAGGATTCCCAAATTCAACTCTAAACCCTCAACCACGACAGCGTAACCGTGGAGGCACTGCGACGCCACTCCAAGGATCCGCTCGTTGCCCGCTACGCTTGCGCAGGGCTAAGGCACGGCCGAAGCAGAAAGTGGTGAGCTGCAGGGCCGTGGACTTGGGTTCGCTTTCAAGGTTCGGGGACCGTGGACTTGGGTTCGCTTTCAAGGTTCGGGGACGTTTGGGGTTGCGGGCGAAAGCATCGCAGGCCTCTTTGGAAAGCCCGCAGGGCTTTGAAGGTTTCGGAGTTAGACCGACACCGCAAGCACTCAAAGCGCAGTCTCCAGATCCTGTTGTACACTACTGCACGTGCAGGCAGTTGGCATCCCATTCGCTGCAGACAAAAACGTCCATCGTCCCTGGGCCACAATTGATTGATTGAATTTGGAGGCTTTGGCGGGTTTTGAGGTTCAGGCTTTTACTGGTAGGGTGTTTCTGGTTGGAGTGAAGGGTTTGCAGCTTTGTGTGTGTGTGTGTGTGTTTGTGTGACTGTGTGGGTGGCTCCCATACTCGATTTCCTGACTTGATGTTTAGAGCAAGGCGGAATTGGCCGCTTGAGCCAAGCCCTTGAAATGTCAACTCAAGCCGCACATCGCTTCAACCTTATAACTTGTAATATGGAGCACAGAGTAGTTCGTAGAATTCGTCCCACAGAATTGTGACAGTAGATATTTGTAGATATCATGTAGATGGTGTGGTGTGTCAATGCACTTGCAACGGGATCCCTACACCTTGTGCAGCACACACAGCAAACCGAAGGCAAAAGTCAGCCCTTGTGAAGCGAGAAGTCCGAGACCCTTAGCCCGAAGCTGGAAAATTGGAGACCCTCTAACCCTGAATCCGCAGTCTGGATTGACCAAGCTGCGGCAGGCCGAGGAAGGAGGAGTCATCGCCCTTCGCGACGCTGCCCAGAGAGGACCCAAGGGCGAAAGAAGGTCTTCACGGATGCGTTTCGGAGCTCAGCTTGCTGGGGCTTAAAATCCTTCCGGCTGTTTAGATGGCGGTTTGGTTTCTAGGGCTCGCCTCAAGCAATCAGAACGTTTCTGGCTTCGGGGTCGTGCCCGAATGCCTCAAGCCCTGGGCCCAAACCCTAGATCAACGAAACCATGCTCATTCCCCAAACAGAACCTCCTAAACCCGCTACCTTTACACACAAAGCCACCCTACGGCCCTCGATAGGGTGGAGATGTTGAAGGCAACACATCCCGCCGAGATCAACCCCAAACTCCGAATCCTAAGCCCTAAACCTAACCCCAACACCCAACCCCTGATGCCTGAGCCCTAAATCCTAAACTTTAACACGAAAGCCTAACCAATGAACCCAGGACTGTCCGGCAGCATCGGCCTCTCTACAGAGGCACATATCGCCCGCATTTTCAGAGTTGTAGGGGTTGGACTAATCAACAATCAATAACAGTCTCCCCTTGCAGTCCTTATGCGGTACGGTACAATATACACCAAATGCCTATTGTACCCGAAATTAGAGGGTTTAGGGTGGAGGGGCCTGGAGGGATTCGGATGTGATGCACAGAACCAGAGTTGGTTTCCGTTTTGTGGGTTCCTTCAAAGCGTCCTATAGGGGTTACGATGCGGGTTGCTATGATGGATATCTTTTAAATGTTTAATATAGGGGCCTTGAATGGCTGCCAATGATGGTCCTGTAGGTTCCCTTGTTATCATACATGTACTATGGTGGACTGTTCCTTAAAGTCCCGTATCATAATTATACCCTATTCTAAATATTCAGGCCACTACATGTTTCGCCGACGCCCAAGACCGTCTTTCGTCCAGGCCTTGGGAGCTCTGTGCCACCTTGCGTCGAAGCACCCGGAGACTGGGCTCTGGAGGGATTCGGATGCAGTATAGGCGCCTGAAGAACTGTCGACGAAGCAAAACACCCTTCTGTGCGCTTTTTCAGGCCTCTTTTGTTGCAGCTTTCGGCCTTTGGAGGTTCAGGGGGCAATCGGTGTCAGTCTGCATCCTGGAGCTTTCATGTTCACCGGATCACATGAGCTCTGAGCCTTTTTTCCTCGCGTGGCTCGCACCCAAGGAGAACAAGCTGCGCATCTTCGCCACCCGCTGCAAAGTTAAGAACGTATGGGTTACTGAAACTTTGGATTCTCTTGCTCGTGGGGATTCGCTCCTGATTCTTACTATTCCAGCCAATCGTGTGAACTTCGCCCGGCAAGGTGTGTTCTCATTTGTGCCGGCCTGGCGATGATTATTTGAGGACTGTTCAGTTGCGACACATTTTTATGGGTATGGGATTGACCGAAGGCAAGTACGCATGACTGATGTGGAGACCGCGAAAGACTGCGTTGGCGGCATCAATACTTTCCACCCCAAAAACTTGGAGCCGTGACCAGAACCACTTGAAGCCTGGACCGCAGTGCCCAATCCTTGATGTGCAAACCTGAAGGCCGACTGACACCGAGATTGGGCACTGAGTCCGGCAACCCCAGATAAGCCTAACAAGCAGGAGGTTTACAGGGTTCCATAAGGGGTTCTAGAACTTTAGGGTTTGAGGCTATGGCTCGGGATTTAGAGCCTAAAGGTAATTGACAGGTTTGGGCTTCGGGGAAGAAAATTAAAAGTTTAGTTCAGCTTTTCTTTGAGCTGCCGTCTTCGCAGCTGAGTTCGGAACTTGAAGAGAATCAGGTGTAAGGGTGTTCGGGGTGGAGGCAACCCATATTCGGGGACTTATAAGCCCACTTATAACTACCCTAGCCTAAAGCCCAACTCCCTAAACCCTACACATCCCTAAAAGGAACCCTAAAGCCCCTTGAGCCTCCAAGTATACTTGGAGGATCATGGGACTTAGTAAGTAAGGTCATAAGTATATACCTTAATTGGAGTTATAAGTATAGCTACCCTAACTATAAGCCTAGTTACTACGTCCCATGATCCTTTAAGTAGACCCTAAAAGTATAATAGAACCCCTATAGATCCCCTTTAAAGGAGCCCTTTAAGGAACCCTAGATACTAAGTCCCATGATCCTTGAAGTAACCCCCCCCCCCCGGAGCCCAGGAAGCCGGCTGCCTGGAACTGGCTTTCGAGGCCTTGGCACCAGGAGGCCGGAACTTCTTGAGGGTTTTAGGGGTTTGAGGGGTTTAGGGATTTGAGGGTTTTAGGGGTTTGAGGGGTTTAGGGGTTTGAGGGGTTTAGGAGTTTAGGGGTTTAAGTGTTTAGGGTTTGGGGGTTTAGGGGTTTAGGGGTTTAGGGGTTTTAAGGGTTTAGGGTTTAGGGGTTTAGGGGTTTAGGGGTTCAAGGGTTTAAGGCTTTAGGGTTTAGGGGTTTAAGGGTTTAAGGGTTTAGGGGTTTAGGGGTTTAAGGGTTTAAGGGTTTAAGGGTTTGAAGGTTTAGGGGTTTAGGGGTTTAGGGCGGCTTTGGATTTATGGCTTTGGGGCCTACAGGTTGAGGAGGTTCTGGGGATTGAGGTGGGGGTGATTCGGGGCTGAACAGATAGGGGTTTGGGTGTTCAGCTTCCAGGGCTGTCAGGGTTTCGCAGACCTGGGTGCAGGCTTTACAGGGTTTATAGAGCTACAGCTTGGGTTGACGATCTCATTATGCAGCGTTCATGAACTTCGGTCCCGTTCAGGGTTCAGGCATGTGGGGGCTTGGGGGTGTCATGGACCAACACCCTAAACGCCCTGCATCCCAGAAGCATCGGACCTCAGCAACAAACGAGAACAGGAAGTCAGGAAGCATGCCTAGAAGTGGTGTAGATGGACAGTTAGATCGATCGATTGGTAGATTGCTAGATCGATAGGTAGATGGATGCACAGATGGACAGACGGAAAGATATAGACGAATGGATGGATGGATGCATGGATAGAAGGATAGGTCTACAGACAGAGATATTGGTTCAAAGACTTCTCAGCATTTCTTGGAAGGTTCGCCTCCCGGTGCGGAGTCGGCAGAGGCAGAGGGCGACGGTGCGTCGCCCCCGGCGCAGGCGGATCTTGGCTTTTGCTTTTCTTTTTTGGGTGCCGGGCTTTGGGATTTGGTCTTTGACCTTAATTATGGGTGTACGGGCGTTTAGTAGGGGGCCGTGTTGCCTTCGGAAGGACAAAAGAAGTTGTCGAAGGCGCAGTTCGCAACTTCTGGGAGGTCGCGACAGTCTAATGCAGAGGCTCAGTAGCGGGCAGTTCCGGTCTCTCTCTGATCCAGTTAATTGAGCTGAACGCCGCCGCCAAACCTCAAGTCTAGCCGTCTCTGACCGTCATGAATCTGCACAGGCATTCCCGGACGCCGAGCTTGCAACATTCTCGGCAAGAAGGACGGTTTTGGATTCTTCCATGGTCTCGCCGTCGTCGTAGCCGTCGTCGGTGTAATAGCAAAGCCAAATGGTTGAAGATTTGTATCCCTATCATCATCACCATCCTCACCGTGATCATCAGCGTCAGCCTCATCCTAATACGCATCCGCATCCTCATCCCCATCTTCTTCATCGCATCCTCAGGATTGGCACTTGCAAAGCTGCTACTGTTACTGCTGCTGCTACTACCACTGGGACTGCCACCGCCACTAGCGCTCCTCCTGCCACCTCGGACGAGGGTCCTCGATTCCTCGTTTGGCAAATTTGGGCCCTTGCTGAAGCCCAGGCAGTTGCGACATGCGGGCTGCTGCACAACATGTCCATCGACACGGCCATCAAGAGCCACGTCGTGACACGTCTGCCAGGGGGCCTGTGGATTGATGGTTGCAGGATTCAGGGTTCTGGCTTCAAAGGGGGCTTGCGGTACTTCGAGATTGCTTTGGCGGGAGTTCAGGCTTGGATCCTCGAACGTCCATTGGTTTTGGCTTCATGTCCTGCGGTTGATTTATAGCCGCACCGTGCAACCCCAAACGCACACGGTGCCCTCAAAACCGTAAGTTAAGGAGCACCAATAATGTCACGTCCCTGCTTCCCAGAGGTCTTGCAGAGCGACCACAGCAGCAGCAACGGAAACCAGCAGTCGAAAGAAGTGTAAGACGAGGGCTGCCGGAGGACGACAACAGAAGAGAAGGACATCGTGAGCAGGAAATCTCAAGAACACAAGCTAAACCGAACAACTCCATCGCTCAACCAGAAGCTCTGCATCTCAACACCTTGAACCTAAATCCTCAAACCCCGACGTCCCGAACCCCAAATCCCATCACTGTGAAGTCCTAACGCCTCGGCCATTCAACACCAGAACCGGAAGCCGTGAACCCCAATCCGCCCCAAACCCTGTCCAGTATCCCAAACTGCCGGGGAGTCCTAGACCTTCCGCCCAAACGTACTATAGGGGTTACCATAAGGGTTCCAATAAGGTTTCCTTTTAAAGGGGTCCCTTAAACCTTCCGCCCAAACGCCAAACCCCTAAAATCCTGGAGCCCTTATCGACCCATCGCACAGTTTATGAGGGTTCAACAAACCCAATCAGACCCTGTGAAGCCCCAAGAAGTCTGAATGTTCATGGAGCTATACTATGGGGGTTACCATAAGGGTTCCTAGTAAGGGTGCCTTTTAAAGGGGTCCTCTTAAGGGGGTCTATAAGGATTAATGTTACCCAGGTGAAGCTCGGTGGCCGAGAGGCGGCAGATCGACTCTCCTCGCACGAGGACAGCTTCGTGGCCTGCCGGTTGTTGTGTTTTTCAGGGTTTGCCGATGTTGAGGCTTTGGGTTTAGGGTTTAGGGTTTAGGGGTGTAGGGGTTTAGGGTTTAGGGGTTTAGGGACTGTTGCTGAGTGATGCCAGTCGTGTTGGCACCAATTGTGTCACCACTGTGGTCATGTTGCATCGGCATTTTTTCTGCGATTTCACCGACGTTAACGTGATGACATGTGCCGCCATTTCCTCTGCTGTTCGGTCGGTCCTTCTTGTTGCTTTCGTGCCAAGCTTTTGTGTGTTACTTGGGTTCGAAGTGAAAGTCTCTCAATGTATTCCTCAGGCTTTTCGAGAAATGGGAACCGCCATGCATCTTAGCCGACTGCTATGCATGTCACTGCTTTCATGTTTGTTGTTGGTGCAGTCTTTCCCGGCTCCATGTTGTCTGGGATGTGGCTACCTGGCTTGAAGCCTGGTGACAGGACTCCACCGTGCGGAATTTGGCCAAGCTGCTTCTTGGAGCACGTGAGTTTGTCTCTGATTTGTGTGTCTGTTTGAAGGGGTCGGGTCCTTTCTAAGCATTAGACGCGATAATATCGTAGATCCGAAAGCTCGGAGCCCTAAATCGTTGTTTATTATGGCAGCTCGGCTTTAGAAGGTGGTTCAGAATCCGAACAGGCTTGCTTTTGGTTGAGGCCTGCTGCCCCGAATGACCGCCAAGAGCGACATGGTCGGGCTTTTCGCGGTGTTTGTGAGTCTGGTGGTATCGGATTTCGGCGTCTCGTACCCCGAAAAACCATGTCGAGCTGAAGCAACTCCATGTCAGGAGGTTTGTGGGCCACCAACAAACCTTGTTTGGAGCAGCTCTTCCCCGACTTTGGTAGTAGCCTCATACAAGGTGCCCGCAACCTTTCAAACGCTACGCAAGCCCAGCAACGAGAAGCTCTATACACGCCCCCTTCAACTTTTCCAAACGGCAGTCGCGGTAAGACCCCACACTCGGCCTGGATCACGAGCTCTACATGTCGAGTAGAGAGTTTCCGAGGTTGGCCAAAACCCTGGAGCCACCGAAGGCAGGCTTCTGGGCTTCGGCTTTTCAGGTTGTCCTTAGCTTTGGCTGAGTCGAGGCGACCTGGGGCCCGGAATGCCAGCAAGACTTCTTCCGAAGGGCGGCTTTTCTAAACCTCACTCCTTCGTCTTTAGCTTCCAAAGTTCATCAGCGAGAGGAGTCCACGAACGATCCGTTCGGTGCCCTCTTTGCCACACGCACGCCAGGCTTCCGACTTAGGGGGAGAGGGGGAGGGAGGGCAAGGAGAAGAGGGAGAGCACACCAGGGTTCAGAGTTTCAGACCAGACCTAAGCCCCACGACATTGTCAGTGCTTGAACCCTGAGGCTCACGGTAGCTTTCGAGGTTAGGGTGAGGTCCTTCCGACATGGGTGTTTGATGATTCGTCCTGGATCAGGGTTTAGGATTGGTGGGCTTCGATTACAAGGATTACGATCGGTCCTATAACTGTGACAATCAACAAGAACCATGCTGTTGAAGAACATAACGACGACAGATGATGGTGACGACAGATGATGTTGACGACGATGATGATGATGATGATGGTGTTGGTCGTGGTAGCGGTCGTGATGTTGAAGCCGCAGATGTTGACAATGCTGACGTTGCTGTTGAGATTGAAGAGCTTTGTGGCTGTTTGTGTCGTATTGTTGTGTTTGTTATCGATACGGTTGCGAAGCTTTAATCAAGGATCTCTGTCAGCAGCATGCTGGACCATTGAGATGAACGGAGCAAGAAAGGCTCACCGCTTTGAAGCATAGTTGGGGCATGTTCTGTCGCCCCTTTGTTGATCGCCGCTCGGCCCCACGCGCCTTCCCAGGGCTGTCTGCTCCGCGCCGACCGCTGTCGAAGCGGGAGTGGCATGGCTTTGTGCTATTCTGCAGTTTCACATGGTAGTATGCCTGGCTTACTTGCTTGATTGCGTTACTGAGATGCCTTGTGATATTATGATGTACTGATGGTTGTACAACATGAAGTCAGAAGACCCTCTGGCCTGTTGACACTTAGAAAAAGCTCCCAGCCGCCGTGTTGTTGTATCGCCATATAAACCACTGTATCAGTGCGGACTCGACCTTCATTTTAAATCTGAATTCCTGGGTTGTGGACCTCAGCCTTAAGCTGCCGAGGGCATGCTGTACTAGACTTTCAAGCTCAGCTCTTTTCAGGCTTTCTCTCTGCATAATCGAAATCCCTCGTAGGCTTTATTGCCTTCAATGCAAGTCCTGCCGAGAGAAAGGAAGTTGGCAGTTCGTGAGCGTAGCCGTTGTGGGAGACTTCGTCTGATGCTTCAACTTGTCAGAGCTCAATACACAGCTTCTGAAACTCCATGTGCAGCCTTTCAGCCTGACAACTTCAAGCCCCGACGTTGAATGTCGCGTTTTCTGGTTGAGAGTTTGTGGTTTCACTGTAGACGCTGTAGAAGGTTGTGAATGCAGGGCTTAAGGTTTCGAGTTCAATCAGTTCGTCGTTCGTCCAGGGTCAGGATGTGCAGTAGGGCTTCGGTCTTCCGGAGTCAGGGTTGTTCTGTTGCAGCTGTGAGGAAGAAGGTGGTCAGCCAGATGGATTTCGACGATATCCGGGATCGGGCCGATGAGAGCACGCCGGAGCCGTGATGGGGATGTTGGGATTCCGGGCACAAGGACTTGCATCCTCAACTCCCACTCCCCGCCCCGAAAGCCAGGCTGTTTCATGGCAACTAGGGATCCTAAACCCTAAACCCTGAGCCCTGAACCCTGTCCGAGTTTGCCATTCGGCGGCCTCCTTCTCGACAAGCGAAAATGGAAATCCTCGCAAGTCTTGAACCATTTAGCGACGGGACCCAAGAGGGACATAAACATAGGCATTTTACAGCGATATCACCACCTTAATTACTGGGCTTCATGATAGGCGGGTTCATATGGGGCCCTGAAGAGCCCACACCCGGAACCCCAAGTCGCAAGGGACGGTTGGTAGAAGAGTCTTGACATGCTGCGAAGCAGCATGCCGACATGTAATGACCCTTGAGGCTCTAAGGGACGCGCCCAAGAGCACCTTGACTCGCACAACTTGAGCACAGTTCTTGGTCCTAGCCTCAATGAGCGATCAAAGCCCCGGCAGCACGGGAACAGCGCATGCAGCTGAATGGACTGTGAACTCGTCACCTCTGGGCTCCCGTCCCTTTCTGCCTCAAGCTGGCCACCACGGCCGGCATCGTTAATGCGGCCGCCGCCCAAGAGTGTCCGATTCGGGTGCTAACCGAAGCACGAGGAAGTTACGGGAGTCCCTTGGACGTAGAAGGACAAGAAGCTAGGGGCCTATCGCGAGGAAACTTCCGAAGGCGGCAGGCGAACGGGGATCCGGCACAGCCCGGATCCGAGAGCATCTCTAAGCCGGTCAGGAAAAGACGGCAGACATTCATGACAGTGGTAACGCCTGCTGATCGATTTTAAGCGATGTTACTGACAGGCGTGTTAAGTCTTGAAACTATGGCTGCTAAGATGTTTTTGTCGATCTGCCGCTTCATGCTTTGTGCCTTCTGTCGTCCTTTTGATCAGCGGAAACCGGGAGTCGTCGTTGTTGCGTGCTGCCGCTGTTGCCACTGTTCCCGTGTCGTCTCTACCTCGTCGTCTAAGCAGGAAACCTACTTGGAGGTCCATGGGCAATTATATTACATAAGTTGGGTTATAAGTCCCCTAATATGGGTTATTGTCATGTTTACCGTACTGAAAAACACCACTTATTATAACCACCGATGACCTTCCGAGTAAGAGGCCGTGAGCCCAAGAGAAGCCGGAGGCCTACGAGAAGGACCTGGAGCTGCTGGAGACGGAGCGGTTGGTCGGCTTGTCGAGCACTCAGGGGCCCCTTGGGGGGGGTGTTGCAGAGGTGCAGAAAGCGATCATCCCTGAAGCTTTGCAGGGCATGCGTAGAGTTTTCGGTGCTGTTGGCAGGTGAGATTGTCGCATGCATGGAGGTTTGGTAGTTGGTGTAGGGGTATCCGCTTGTGGCGTGCTTGTCGTTCTGCACTAGGATTTCCTGGGGTTGGCTGTCCAGGGCACCTTTGTCATTGCAATTCGGAGACAGACTGAGGCTGATGCTGGTCTTCGTCCGCAGGAGCCCTTCGGACGGCAAGATTCGGCTCCCGCTTGCTATTTAATAGCAACGCACTCGGGAAAATGGTCGCAACCGAAGAACTCATGATGCATGTAATGGTGTATCGGTCACCCGTCTCCGCTCCTCCTCCTCCTCCTCCGCCTCCTCCGCCTCCTCCGCCTCCTCCGCCTCCTCCTCCTCCTCATACGCTTCCTCCTCATACGCTTCCTCCTGCTCATCATCATTCTTGTCGCCGTCGCTGTCCGCGCCGTAGTCGCCATCATCGTCAAATCATCATTTTCATTACTACCATCTTCAGTGCCCCCGTCATCAATCGAATCACCACCACCCCGACTCTTTCAGCATCACCTCCGCAATAGCGCAGTCCTGACATTCGTGGCTTTGCGATGGGTAGCACTCGTGTTGGCTGCGATTGCCGGCATCAGCATCCTGGCTTTGTCGCCTCCTCTCCCGTAGAACGAAAATGCCAGGCTTATGCCCAAAGCTCAGGGCTTCTTGTGACGACCAAGACCCCAGTACCACAGCACACGACTGTTCTGCCCAGGCTTTCTGGACCAGGTCTGCGATCTCCGCACAACGGCGCTTGGTGTCGGTGTAGGAGGCCTCTTGCGTGCTTCAGGGTTGAGAGCTTGATGCGGTGGTGTCTCGGTGCCATTGCTTAGCAATGGTGAAGCCGAGGCAGTCTATCTGCCCTGCGCAAGTTGCAGCAGAGCCACCCGACACCCGGAACTCCGATCCCTCACACCTTCGGACTCGAAGCGCGAAGTCCTCGGCCGGAAACACTCGTGGCTTGAGTGGAGGATTGTTTGGAGCGGGGGCAGCGGGGGAGGGGTTGCAGTGTTTAGGCCTTAGTGGCTGGGCATAGTAGGCTTGCTGTCTGGGCGTGGCGTGCCACTGGGGATGTAGAGCATGGGATCTCCGAGAAACGGAACCCGTGAGCCCTACTCTTCAGTCAGAGTGGAGGTAGCATCCAGGCTCGACCAGTTGGGGCTTCCGGAGCTTTTTCAGGGCTTCGGAAATATTCGGATCATCAAAACCTGAACCAATGCGCCGTGTGTCCTGAACTTCTTAACCTGCTGGGCTCATTTGTCCCAGAGCGTCTCAGTCTTCGTAGAAACCAAAACCTTGAACATGTGACTGCCATAACGACCTAGGAGCCACAAGAATGAAAGCATGAAGGGAACACTACTTGGAACCGGAATACCTGTCCTCAGAGCATGTCGATGCGAGGGTATGGAGGCAACAAGGGCGCCGTGGCGATTCGCTTTGAGCTGGGCCCGGGCGCTCAGGGCTTGGTTGTCCCTCCCGGGCTGGGAAGCGAAGCTTGGGGCCAAAATGCAACCTTAGTCTGACGCGGGCTTTGGGGTCTAGTCATGTACAGTCGTATTGAGGGCCAGGAGTCGTATCGCAAAAGAGTCAGGCCCCTAGGCGAGTCCTGCTTGGGGTTGGGGGTGAAGGAGACCTGGGTATCAGTGTCATCAACAGCAACACTAGTGCCATCCTCGTCTCCCATTTGGATCAATGTCATCAGGCTGTTGAGTTGGTGGTAGGAAATGGCCCGTTTTCTTTATGTTTAGCATCGTCAAGCTAACCTTCCCTGTCCCTCCCATCCAAAGCCGACTTTCAGCTCCTCCGCCCGAGGCCGCTCGTCCTTCTGCTTCGTGAACGCGCACCTTGCGGCGGGTCAGGTTCGCCCCAGGGTCTCGCTTTATGTCCATGCTTGTGGGAAACTTTGGAAGTGCTTAGCATGCTTCCGGAGGCGAAGCTGGGGATTTCACAAGCCAGGAGAGTTGAGGGTCAAGTCTTGGTGACAGGAGGCCTAGAACCGACTCGCGTGGGTAGTACTTAGATTAGTAAATGGACATCTACATTCGTCGCGCCTGTAGTAGCGCAGTAGCGCTCCTCTATCACAATCTCTACTTTTTGGAAAGATGCACCTGCAACCCTCTTCCTTTGATTGAGGCCCCGGCCATCAGGGTCTCAGGGTTTGCCCTGGCCGTCATGACCAGATTACTTGCGGCTATTCGGTCTTTGTTCGCGCTCCGTAAAGCGTTGCGCACGATGGTTAGTCAGTACTAGAGGTAGAGCGGCATGCACCAGCACCAAGCAGAACAGTTACCGCCAATAACGACACCACCACCACCACCACCACCACCACCACCACCACCACCACCACCAACAACAACAACACCAGCAGCAGCAGCAGCAACAACAACAACAACAGCAACAGCAACAGCAACAGCAACAGCAACAGCAACAGCAACAGCAACAGCAACAGCAACAGCAACAGCAACAGCAACAGCAACAGCAACAGCAACAGCAACAGCAACAGCAACAGCAACAGCAACAGCAACAACAACAACAACAATGCTTCCTCCCGCGTGCTACCGCCGCTGCTTCTGATATTTCTGTTCCGACTGCCACTACTGCTGCTACTAAGTACGGCAACGACGATTCTTCCGACGGTGTTCCTGCCTGGGAAGTTCATGGCGCAGTGCTTGCCGTATTTGTTCTCAATCAGCACTGGCTTGTCCATTGTCAGCACGATACTTTTGTGACCCGCAGAGGTGGGTCGAAAGCCCCATGTCACTCTCCATAGCCACGGCAGGAGAACTACATATCCCGGTGTCAGCACTACAGCAGGGAGCCCCAGCCGGTCGGTGCCAATTGTTTACGGCTTGCGGTTGCAGGTCGAGGGGTCTTTTCGGGAGCTTCGAGTCGAGCGCTTTGGCTTTGTGGATTCTTAAAGCTTCTGGATGCCGGGTCTTCCTCGAACTGGGGGGCCGACAACTCTCCTCCCTCGTGTTTTGTTGCGTCCAGTTTCTGTGGCTGGCTGTTCTGGTTTGCCGCGCGTGGTGGCATCTTGGGGTGGTGGTAGCTACCAGGATGCCCATGGAGCCTTGCATGCAATTTAGAGGCAAGCCCAAAAGGCCTGTGCGGTCAACCAACCTGTCAGAATTTGCCGTGACGGCAGACCGCAGTGCTACGTAACTCCTGAAACCACGTCCGAAACCCTTCGCCCCTACAACGCGGAGCTTTGTTTGATATTTTCGCTGGGCATTGGGCCTCGGGTGCTGCTAAAAAGATCTATGCCACAATATCGAACCAATGTTCGCTTGCTTTGTCGATCCTCAAGCCCTGAAGAGCCATGAGCCCCAACGCCAGCACCCTGGACAACCCAAGCTTCAACATCATAGCTAAAGGTCCTGGCCTAACCCTGGAAGAGCCCGGACCAATACCATCTGAGGCACCATCATCAATAAGCTCGCCTTCAGCGAGGAGGACGACGACGCTGTCGTGCGCAGCTACACCGCCTGGGGCCTGGTGGGATTTGCTGTTCTGTGCGGTTTCAGTACTAGGGTTTTCGCCGTCTTGACTCATTCATAGGTTCAATGCTGGTTCAAATGGTACACCATGAACTGTTGGTAGCTGCATGCATTGCAAGAGGCTTCGCCAGTATTCCCCAGGTTTTTCTGAGCATTTCCTGCTCTGCATTAACAAAGCGCCTTGCATCTCATGAGGGGGGTTGCGGGGCTGCCGTAGACTCTCTAACACAGGAAGGCGCGCTACCTACACTGGTCATAAACCGATGAACTCTACTGGCTGTCGTTGTTCAGAGTCTATTGACATGCAAGCCGATCAATGGGTAGACAAGGAGGTAGAAAGGTGAGCCACGATCTGTCGCTCTTCGGCTTCTTCTTCTTCCTCCCCCTCTTCTTTATCTTCTTCTTCTTCTTAGCTCTTCGGGCTCGGGGTTCAGGACCTCGGTCCCAAGAGCTACTTTGAATCAAGGGGTCCCATGAAGCTACCAAACCACCCTACATGCAGTATGTCTACCATGAAAGCCCATTCACCCTAATCAAAATCGAAGCAAGCTTTCTAAACGAAAGGCTTGCTAGACCTTTGGCCCCCCGAAGCCGCAAGAACGAGGCACCAGCCTAAGCTTGGGAGTCTGGACTTCTGGCGATCTATGCGAAGCACCAAGCCCTATAGGCCCTAGAGGACCTGAAAGCCGGGAGTTTTTAGAAGCGAAAGCCCGAAGAGCCAATTGGAGAAAGATGCCAGGGGGGCTATAAGTAGAGTAACCATAATTATAAGCCGTATTAGGGGACTTATAACCCCACTTAAAACGACACGAAAGCCCTAATTAGCCTAATCCTTAAACCCTAGAGATCCCTTAGAGGAGTCCTTGTTTCCCTATAACCCCACGTATAACTACCCTAAAACCCATGAACCTTAACGCCAGGAGGGAGTCCCCCAGGATGCCTGGCTCTGAGAGGGCGTTTCGCGTCGCCTTTGACACAGGGACCCTTTGGGGGGTAAGGGGAACGGGGGGTAGGGGACTATACTTCCTTAAAAAGGCATCAGTAGGTCCTTCTTATTTGCATTAACTTTGACACTGAGGATTTCCCCAGAAAAGCTTTGTGCATGTAAGTAGGGTTCTGGGGAGAGGGCTGAATCTAAGGCTTCTCTACGTACTTTTGCTGGGTTTCCTCAGGGCTTCGGGAGCCCCAGGCGCTTTGACTTCAGCCCTAAACCCTTCAGCCTTAAACCCTAAGACCCAAATATATCCTAAACCCCCAAACCCTATAAATCTAAACCCCCAACCCTAAGTCTTGAAGAGATTCCGCGCATTCCCGCAGCGGTGTTTCGGCTCGCACATGGCGCCGGTGACGTGATGGCGGAGGCGTGCGGCTGTGAGAGGTTCCAAGCTATCTCCAAAGGTCCGTGTGGGTTTGGAAGTTTGTCTCTGTATATGCTTACAAGTAGGGTTTCTGGTCCAAGTGCTTTAGGGTCTTCCGTCCAGAAGTGTGAACCCAACACAAGAATTGCAACTGCTTCCTCCTAGTCCTAGTCTTAAAGGTCCCCTAATATCACTACTTTCGGAATTCTCCTTAAAGCCCTACTTAAGGCTTTCAACCCTAAGCGCTAAGCCCTAATACTTGAGCCCCAAGCCTAACTCCGAGAGACTAAATCTGGCTCTTCTCTGAGCCTCGGCCGGAGGCTCCGCCCCGCCAGCTTCGCAGCTTCCAGGTCCCGGTGAAGCTACGCGGCCTGTGGAGCCAGTGAGGGTCAAGGTCAGGCTTCTCGTTTTTGGGGGTTGAGGAGAATTCGGGACGCTTGTCGAACGGCATCGGAATGGCTTTTCTATGTCATCGTACTATACACCAGAGCCCTATTCTGATCATTGAGGCTGATAGTGGCACCCGTAATCACGATGACCTGATGGTGAGGACGCCTGCTTGTATGGGTAAGGCGCTGTTACGCAATCTCCAACCCTGTCCCCTTTACTCTGCCAAGGTTCGAGTCTAACTACAATGCCGGCGGCGCGAACGGAGAGGACAGTGCCAGGTGCCAAGAGTGCCAAGAGTTGAGAGGCTCTCATTTTTGGAGCATGAAGGCTCCAAAGCCATGCAGCCTGACCTGACGTCAATAGGCAAGATTCTCACTCTAAAAGCCTCAGCGACCTGCCCAATCCCTCTACCCGAACGCTTCGAACCGGAAAATTTAAAATGCCGAACTCTAGCAGATCCCAAGTTCTTGTGCCCGGATCCCTTTGTCCCCAAACTCGCGAAACCCAAGGCGTAAACTCTAAATTCCCCGAACCCACCAGAAGCCAGCACTGAATCCCTGAACCTTCAACTCCGGCATCCCGAATTCCTGAGCCCTGAGCTCCCAAGTCCAAAGCTCCGAGGTCCAATGGTCGCAAAGCATGGGCCAGGTGACACTGTTACCCTACCGGATTGGAGGGTCTGGCTGTTAAGATCGCTGTTGTGATCATCATAACATTATTTTTTGTTTCGATTCTAGAGTCGGTTCGATGCGCAACTCTTTTTGGGGCTTAGGGTTTAGTGAAGACAGCTGTTGTGATCATCACGTCCCGTCGTCATTCTCAGGATCTATATTGCCTGTTGCGAGGTTTAGTTTCTATACCGTCTATACCGCTCTGGCCTTCATCGTTTTTTTGGGGCCTGGCCTTCCTAGGCTTCTTTTTTCCTTGCGACATGGTGTGGTTCGGGTCTTCGGTCCGCGTGACGCGGCTCGAACACAGATGTAGCTTCGGCGCAAACACGGCGGTAGCAGCTCCTCGTATCAAGCTTACATTGGCTGGCAGAAGGACTTCATCATCATCGTCTCTCCATGAACAATCGTAGCAAAGCTTTTTGCAATAAACTGCTCATGGTCCGCGAGCTCAAGACACGGAAACTTCGATCAGCCTAGTCACCTGAGGGCTTTGGCTTGCGAGACAAAGCTCTAATTTAGGGGAATAACTAGTAACTAGTAACATTGCTGGCCCCGTCATGGTCCCTGTATGATTGCGGTAGAACATACTCCGGAACTCGACTCGAATCATTATCTAAGGCCCCGACATTAGAGTGCCCTTGACCCTCCCATAGAAGCCGAGATACCTCAAACTGAAGTCAAACCCTGACCGGCCCGAACCGAACCCCAATGCCCAACCCTACAGAGCTGTAAACTTGACAGGAAGTAATAAATCGTACATGAAATTCCTAGAAACCCAATGAAAACTCCAAACGAAACATTACAAAGCCTTCTAAACACCAACGAGAACCTTCGCCCAGATTGAATGGAGGTGTGAATAAATCCGAAGAGTATCCCGTTGTAGCCCCCTCATGATGACACTAAACCAGACCCCGAAGCCCTGTTTTAATAATAGGCCCCCAATATAGGGGCCTGAATGATTACCAAAACTATTTTGGGGTTTCCTTATTATAACTATAGTATATAGTTTACTTCCAAACCCTATTCTAATTATCAAGGCCCCTACACTAAACCCTTTTGGTAGCCCTTCTAGTAACCCTTATAGAACCCCTTTAAAAGGAACCCGTTTAGGGAACCCTCTTCAAGGTAGTCTTTAATGGAATTTCAACTTCTGAGGACCCACCGGCTCGAGGGCATCCTCGAAGATCGCCGGGAGTGGTCCAGTGAGGACGTCAAGGCAGAAGGGCTGCTATCAGTATTATTAGAAGTCTTATCAGTAGTATTATATTTGTTGCTTTGAAGGGCTCCTTTGAAATTTTTAAGAGGGTCCTACAAGGTTCTACTGAGGGTTATAGAAGGGCTTCTCTAGGGTTGAGGGTTATTGATTAGGGTTTTGAAGGATTTTGCTTTGATATGGTGTTTTCGGCTTTGGGCTTTAGGGCCTTCCTTTTATGCAGTTCAAAGTGTTGGAGAGTTTGGTTTCACATGTTTTTGGTTTGGCCTCTGTCAGTACTTCTTCCCGTGCAGCCTGGAGCCCGACAAGAACTTCCTCAATCGGACATCCCTGAGATGAAGTCGCGTATTCCTGTTCCCCTCCAGGTCTACGAATCGGGTGCTTTTCTAGAAATCCGTGGCCCTAAACCCTAAACCCTAAACCCTAAACCCTAAACCCTAAACCCTAAACCCTAAACCCTAAACCCTAAACCCTAAACCCTTTTTCAAGGGAGCCCTTCTGGAGTGGTTTCTACGAGGCTTCCGGGTCTTTGAAGACACGTTGAAAGGGCCCCCAAATGGCCGTCGGTTTTGTGTGCGCCTCTTTCGGGGTTTCATGCTTAAAGGATCATGGGACTTAGTAACTAGGGTTATAAGTTATAAGTAGCGTAACTATACTTATAGCCCCAATTCGGGTACTTATAACCTTACTTACTAAGTCCCATGACCCTCCAAGTGCTTTTCTGGTGGTCTCGGGTTTGTCACGAAGCGGCAGCCTCCCGAGACAGGTGGAGCTCTCGGCCAAAGGGATGAAGGCCTCGGAAGGGGGGGGGGCGGGCAGCTTGGGTTTGGGGCTGTGGAGGGCAGTAGAGAATCAGTCTAGCAGACAAATGCCACAGCTACCCAGAATACAGTTCTGTACAGCACTACTCAAGGAACCTGACGTGTCCGTGAGCTACAGGCTGCGGAAAGCTCTCAAGCTTACTCTTCGTATTGCGAACATTGTCCCCGTGGAAGCTTTGTGTAAGTTATGCTAGTGTATAGACCCCTGATAAATCCCCTCGTGAGTGCGCAGCAAGTGCCCGAGAAATCCCAGAAGCCGCTGAAGGCTTGAGGTATGGTCGGGAAGTCGAGATTTTGAGCACCGAAAGCAATGATAGTCTAAGATGTCTATGTATGTGTGTCTGCAAAGACATGCATTTCTGTGAAGATTTACTGGTGCTTGACCCAAAGCCCCAGCCTAAAATGCCTTGGACGCAAAGCCTCGCACATGTAGAACCCGCGCCCTGCATCCTGTGACCCCTGGAATCGATGCTTGTTCCGTGCCTGAGGACTGTCGGATTTGGATGTTGGGCTTCAGGGATCATTGGGTCGATTCTTGGAGGTTTGGAAGCCCCTTTCAAAACATGGACCCGAGCCTTGAACCGTGTAATGCCCCCGGACATCGACCCCCTGAGCCTTCAGAGTGAATGTAAGCAGCATTTTTCAACTCGAGGCTTTCCGTAAGCATCCGGTTTCCCGTGCACATCTGTTGTTGTACGAAGTGGCAGACAGCATGCACATACTGCTGCTGGGTAATGGCTGCGTCACTACGGTTCTTCTGGCTTACATCGGGGTTTTCCTGTTCCTCTTTCTGAGTGGCCGTCTCCCATCTGCCACCGTCGATGATGAGAATCACCAGGCCCAAGTTCGCATCAAAGTCATCCGGCTGCTCCCTCCAGGTTCACCGGGCTCCCTACCTTTGTTGCTACATTGGTGGCCGCCGCCGGAGCTCAGTCGAAGATGCCATGATTCTTCTGGCATTCTACAAGGAGGAGTTCTATGGCTTCCTCTTCTTGGGCATTTGCTTTATGCTGGTACCTCCTACCTGTGTGTGGACATTTAGATATGCCCTTGGAAGGGCGCGAATGTCCAACTTGTTTTTTTCCATCATTCAGCTGGAGTTCGTGTACCAGTCCACCATGTCTCTCATTACCGTGGAAAAGACCACTGACCTTTTCTGGCAAACAGCCGGAGAGGGTGGTCTGGAGGCACCCTTGCAGTGCATTCTGCAAATCTACAAAGTCCTTGTAACCGGCCAACAAGAGCGTGTTCCCCAATTCATGCTCTCGATCATCACATCTATGTTTTGCACTGCAAACTCCTTTGCGAAGCTTGGCAAGTATGGAAATGGCCTGTCAGTGCTGTCCTGTGAGCATGCTCGGCAGGTCTGCTGGCGCATCCTTTGGCTGGCCCCTCGCCTGTTGGGACTGCCGATCTTCGCATATCTGACGCGTCCACATCATGTTGGGTTGCATGAAAACAAGCAAGTGGTGGTGTTTGTTTATGCCGCTTTGGAGTTTCTCCTCACTTGGCAGATTGTGGTTCGCAGGTCTTCTGTACCGCATGTTCTGGGAGTACAGCTGTTTTTTGCGGCTCTGACAATGATGGCCGTGCCGCCAGTCATGCTTCCATCTATCCGACGCATGCTGCCAGTCTACACCACGCAGCGTTTGATAAGTTTCCTCGTCATAACACTGCTTGGGACGAGCATGTCGCCTGTCAACAGTGCTCACACCGAGCTGCTTCTTCAGCCTCCAGCCGTAATTATTCTGGCAGTCTTCATCTTGACATTCCTGTCATGGCTCACGTGGGCCATCAACAGTTTTGTCCAACCGTGCTGTCATGTAGATACGAACGGCCGCGAGGATGATTATGCCCTCTTGGGAATAGAGCCTCACGCGAATTTCGAGAGAGAAAAGCAAGAGAGACAGCTAGCAGTGGCTTTGCGCGAGGCTGTTGCTTCCGGGGACGAAATTCTTACAACGTTTCTTCTGCAAGAAGGAGCCTCTGTGGATGTGGATGGAAAGCATGATCCTGGTGTTGGCGTGTTGGAGTTGGACTTGTGGCGTGGGCAGAAGTTTGCAGAAGCCGTGACAGGTCAGGAGGTGCAGATGCGCGGCAGAAGTGCAGGTCTGCTGACCATGAACATTCCTGCTCCAGAGTGCGATGGGGAGTGGTATTATGAAGTGGAAATTTATCAGACAAAGCGTCTTTCCGTCTGGGTGGGCAGTTCCCCAGAGATGGGACCCTTTCGGCCCACTTGGCAGCCTGGAAGACATCGGAGGACGATAGGTCCGGCAAGTTGAGCATGGTTTCTTCTTTTGCAGCTGCATGGGTAGTAGAGGTGACATCCGGACATGTCCTGCACACGGATGGTGCCGGGACATCCAGCGAAGTTGACTTGCTGCCTGAAGCCAAAGTGCTGGGCTGTGTGGTGAAGATTCGCTCAGGGACTGCTAAGGTGTTTTTCGTGATCCAGGGAGATACTGGAGCCAAGGTCACGGAGACATGTACGTTTGACGTTCACGGCCGCAGACTACTGCCGGCAATCAGTGTGTTCGGATCTTCGTGGCACTTCCGCGTGAATGTTGGGAACGAACCCTTCCTGCTGAAGCCAGAGGGGGCATCTGCAGTGCTCACGGCAAGAACAGGAGATCCGCCCGGCGTTACGGCAGCACGAAATGGTCACTGGCCCACTTGTAGGCTTCTCCTGGATCGTGCAGCGGATGTAAACAGCATGGATAGCATCAGGCGCAGGACCATGCTGCATTACTTCGCTGATCAGGGCCAGGAGGATGCTGTCAGGCGGTTGATTGAGCGGCAAGCGGACATCTGGTTAAGGGATTCCGATGAGCAGGATGCACTCACACTGGCGCAGTCAGCCGAGACCTCACAGCAGCCGGTGACCGGCTCTCAGAGCTCATCTCCAGGCCGTCCCGTGGAGGCTGGTTCACTGCTTTGCACCATGCCGCGGAGCACGGGAATGCAATGCTAGTGCGTCTGCTGCTGGAGTGGAGAGCAGAGGTCGATGGCCCCATGCCTCAGACTCCCTTGATTTGGGCGGCAGCACGAGGTCGCAAAGATTGCGCGCAAATCCTGATTCGAAACCGGGCGGATGTGAGCCGGAGAGATCAAGCGGGGCTCGATGCTCTGTCATGGGCCGAGGAGGCCTATTTTTCGAAGTTGGGCGGCTTCGCCAAGCTGCCACAGGAGCAGTGCGATGCATTGCAGAAGGATCTGAACCTCTTGCTCACCGAGTCCCAGGACTGAGGGAAAGCTGCGACGATGATTCCCCGCTCCCGAGTTGTAGAATGCCGAGTCTGAAGCCACCGCGGGCAGTCAGTCGCATGGCAATCAGCTGGCGAGCCCGTCGCTCCGGAACAGCAAAACTTGGTTGGTTGTGCTAACGGTGCACCGTGCTGGGGGTATACGCGGTCGAGGTTTAGCTGTTGGGTTTCGGGTTTCGGTGTGCCGAAGTGTCCACAGCTGGGAAGGTGACCCTCAACGGGGATCTCTTCAAGCCTCTCTCTGCAGATTTCCTCGGCGAGGTGTGGCGGTTCAAATCCTGGTGGCTCCGGCAGACATTCAGAAACCTGCAGGGAGGCTGTCAATCAGTCAGGAAGCTCCCCCTTCTTCATGTATACTTGTGCAGTTTCCCACAACAAAGCCCAGTTCATATCACCATCTGTCAAGTTACCTCAAGCAAGTGCTGGTTTTATGTCCCCGCGCCCGTGCTTGGAAAGCATGCGACCAGAATTCTGGCCCCATGTCGGTGCCCGAAACCTTTCCCTCTTACCCCCCCTGTTACCATCCCCTAATTTATTGCCTATACTTTGCCACATCCTCCCAGCAAGTGCCCGCAGAACGAATGCCAGCTTTTTCCGGTACTATGATACCATGCACATCAGGTGTATGTGTGCGCAGACATTGAAGTGGCCCTGCCATGTTGATCGCTTCGCCTCTCTCTTCTCTCTATCTACCTCTCTCTCCGCCCCACTTACCCAGTGCCTTTGAGCCCCAAGCAAACCTACTCTCGTCTTGCCCAGGTGGACAGTGGAGAGCGGCGTGCTCATCATCCACGTCTTCAAACGTGCCTGGGCTGTGACCGCAGCTTGAGGTTCAGGATCCTCAGCTAGCTCCTCCTAGGTCAGGTGTACCGCAGAGGGGACTCAACGGACAAGTCTTCCCCAATTTGCAGGAATTGGGGGAGTTGCTCAAGAAATACAGGCTCTTTGGAGATCAGACGAGCTGTTTGTGACCTTATAGTACGGAAGACTTAGAACAGAGTTGGGGAGGTATGTCGCAATTTAGTATGACTCTGCACCCGACCGAATCTTGAACCCCTCTTCCCGCATGTACGTCCGTACGCCCTAAATCCTCAGCCAAGTTTAGTCATAAGCATTTTATAGGGATATCCCTACCTTATTGGGCTTCATTATAAGGGGGTTTATATGGGACATCCCTATCCTAATTTTTGCTTATCTGCTTTTTTGGGTCCCTATTTAGGAAAGCGCAAACACATCTAGTTTCAGCCCATCTTTGTGGTGGTGCCAAGGGCAGATGGCAACCTGGCGATTCCCTTTCCATCGCGACACCGGGGGCACGGGCCTTTTCAGGACCACCGCGCCTTGAGCTTCAAGTTGAAGCTTCAGGGTGTGGGGTTATGGTGTGGGGGTTGTGTAGGTTGCCTGGAGAGCAGGGCCAACACGGAAAGGCTCACGGGATCGAGGATGTTTCTCCTCGGCGCTTGCAAGCATCTTGCAATCAGGTGCAAGAGAGGCGCGGCTGTGGTCCAACGGTCGTCTGTCTGTGAGCTTCCGGCTTGAGCTTTCGTGAAAAGCTCACGTTGCCCAAGCAGGAGCCCAGCAGACCCAGCAGAACCCCCAACTCCTCAGAAACGACAGCCCCCGAACCCCAGATCCGAAGGAGAAATCCGTTCCCCTGGACGCCGGCCATGCGGGATGCGCCGGGTGGAACGAACATCTCACACTTGGACATCAACTACGCCAAGGACTTCCGCAGACGGGATAGGGTCCCATCTGGTTTGGGTTTGGTGAAGCTCTGAGTTTGAGGACAAGTTCAGAAGGGTGCCTGGTTTAGAACATCCGTGGAGTTTCCCCGGGGAAGCAGCTAATTTGTGTCCAGGTCTTGTGGTGGTACCTGCCAGATCAGGGGATTTGGCAACAAACTTTATTTCAAGAGGCCTATATACCTCGAAGTGCCTTTCTTACCAGCCCACGTACCAAGTTTCCAAGTCCCGGTTGAGGCACGGGTTAGTTGGCCGAAGTTCGTGGTTGGTTCGAAATCCAGCCAGGAAGCGCCAAAGGAGGAAGAGCTCGAAGTCATCCCGGTGCGCCTGCCCGTTGCAGCAGTCTTTGAGAGTTTCGCGGGTCGAGGGCTGAGGGGCCGAGGCTCTGTGGTTTCCAGAGTCCCTGCTGTATATGCGGCGGAAGGGGCTCCGTCTTTCGGCACATATGTCGAGCATAAACTTCCTGCTGGCGCCACAATCTTCGAGACGCAAATCACCGTTTGCCCCAAAGCAGCAACACCTTCACAGGCCTTCAGGCGAGTTTTAGAGCTTCTGGCCTCTTAAGCCTGCATCCTGTCATGTCGCTTCTTCGAAGACCTGCATACGCCGTTTCAGGAACGAGCAGCCCTCCTCGGAACCCGTCAGAGCTTTATGAAAGCCCCGAAACCCTTCGGTAGCTTTGCCTTGTGAGCGCTTGCCAGGCCGGTCGCCCGGAGCCACTCCCGGGCGAGATCCTGCCGGATGGCAGCGTGAAGGACCCACCTTGTTCTGAGAAATTACTCTTGTCTTCTTGTTGCTTCTGCGAATACTTGTCGCAGCGCTTGCAGAGCTCATGACTCATGACTTCGCTGGCGTTGCCATGCTGACACAGTTTCAGACCTGATTGTAAACGGGGCAGGGGGGCCGGGGAATTTTTGAGTATGGGTGGCCGCGTAACGGGTGGGGTGCGAGTGGGGCAAGAGGTTCCCGGACAGGAATTGTCGGTTAAAGCTAGGCGGCTATGTAGGGTCACACCTGGCGTCCGTATGATCGACAAGCCACAGCGATGCCGGACCAGTATCATTCTCGAGCCGTGCTAGCGGACACAAGACTTGTTGCTGCCCCTGTGTCGCCTACGCTGAAGGGCTCTCTCGGTTTCGTAGGCTTCGTCATGTCTGAGCATATCCCAGCAGGTAACCAGGCTCAAACCCCCCACCACTATGCCTACACCTGAACCGCCTACCCGAAGCCAAAGCACTACCCTGCGGACCTGAGCTCGCAAGGAGGCTGCGCCGGGCGGTATGTTTGCCTTGCTCCCGGCGTCTCATCCGAACTTGGCGCCCCGATGTTGGGTTCAGCTCAGCCGTTGTGTTCTTGGGTGCAGGACAGTTGTGATTGCAGAGCTTTAGTTGCCCATCCCACAGCCATGGCGTGTGAGCCCTAAGCCCAAGCCGCACGCCTCCAGACACTGAGCCCTCCGCAACGAAGAAGCAGACAACGTGTCGCATAGCGCCCGATAATTCCATCAAGTCATACGACTGAGAAGCAGGGGGCAAGAAAACCTCGTCAGGAGGGTCTCGTCTGCACGCCCAACGACCTTTGTCTTGGCATCAGCGCTCACCAGGACGACGCCTACGCCCACCCCAACCCCGGGCTACCAGGATCCATTCTCCCACAGAAGTACAATTCATTTGTCTGCTTGACAAAGCCTCGTTCAAGGGTCGGGTATTATGGCAGACTCTCAACCCCGTCCCCGATATTGCCCCCTGACTCATCTGTACTAGACCCACGAGAGTTTATGCTAGAATCTCCGAGCGCTCCCCCAAAAGCCTTGCCAAGTCTTGAGCCTGAGCAGTCCCACCAACAGCGGCCTAAACAAGTATAAACGCACTCCGGGTTCTTCTTCAAGCCTAATTACAGCTAGTCAGGGCAAACGGAGGAATCGCATGTTTGATTCCCGTATGTTCTCATTGTAGATAATTGTGTAAGCAAGTCGCTTGCTAATTCCTTGAGCTCCTACCCGGAAAGCTGCACTGTGCCAAGAAAGGCTACGCCGTGAAACCCTACCTTACTTGGAGGTTCATAAGTGGGGCTAAACGTCCCCTAATATGGGTCATAATTTTGGTTACCCTAATTGTAAGCGATTCGCGTCGTCCGCCTCGGCCCGGCTGTGGTGCATTGTTTCGGAAAGCAGCAACCCGAAAGCCTACCAAGACCCATAGGCGTGAAACCCGAAACTCTAAACCCAACCCTCACAGCTTAAACCTTAAACCCGAAACCCTAAACCCTAAACCCGCAGCATGTAGGGAGGAAGCGCAGCCCGTGCCATGGCGAGGGTCAGCAAGCAGTGCGAGAGGGTTCACCAACTCAAAAGTTTACAAAATTGGAATGGGGGAGGAACGGGGGCGGGAAGGCGGAGGCTTTTCCATTGGAAGAAGCGAAACTTCACCGTGGCACCTTGGGGCTCATCCCGAGGTTCACAGAGAGGAGGGGGGTCCAAGCAGCCAAAACCGAACGGGATTAAGTCTTGGGGAATAGAGGGAATCCGTATAGGAACCTCTGACCGTTTTGACTACCCATGAACCTCCAAGCACAGTCGCCGGCAGGAGGACTACTCCGTCACGATCGAAGTTCACTTCGAGCGAGATCGCTGCTCGGTCAAGTTAGGCGCTCGAGAAACAAACATACAGAGAACAACTGAGAGAACGTATGTGTATTTTTGGTGACTGCATCTGTGTATGTGTATTTGTCTTTGTATGTGTAATGTACAATTCTTCATGTGTACTTGTACGGGGATGTGGATGCGCATGTGCACGTGCACGTACGTGTGCCTGTGCATGTGCAGGTGCAGGTATGTGTATGTGTCTGTGTGTGCCAGGTAGGAAAGTAAGTAGGTAAAGGTAGGTATGTAGGGAGGTAGGTAGGCCATGTCCCGGGACGCTTGGAGCGGATGAATGCCGAGCGGAAGTATCTCCAAGGCTATGAGCGCCTGTGTGCGCGATATCCCCTGGAGGCGGGCAGTGATCTTGAAACCAAGAGCCCTTGGTCAGAAGGTGGAAGCCCGCAGGGCAGGGAATCCGCAGATGCCGACTCTGATGTCTATGAGATTTAAAAGGCCAAGTGCTACAGTCACAGTTACGATGGCTATGGCTATCTTCAAAGAGGCGCTGCTAGCAGCTGATGTCTGGTCAAACGCAGCGGCTTGGCGAAGAGTTTGGAGTTGCGAGTTCCGGGGGCTGAGGCCATTGAAGCTAATTCAAAGCAACCCTGAGGAGGTTTGTGGTCTCGGCAGTGAGGATCTATAGGGGTTGTGTTTCGAGAGATAGCTTGAGCAACGTCTTTGCCATGTCGGAAGCGCAGAGGTCGTTTGGATGGGGCATTGGGGCTTGCGGATGCAGAGACTGTGGCATACGGGGTCTGCGGGTTGGGATTGGAAAACGATTGATACAGCTTCCCGTTGCTCAATCCACCGCGACTAGGCAGCAAAAACAGGCCTTGCGGGCCACCAGGCATCCCAAGAGCATGGCTTCTTAGATGATCGTCGTTCTATTCCAGCGCACTCGCAGCGCAAGATTTCTAGACCCAGCAACAGGGCAGCATCGATACGTTGCAGCACTACTCTTCTATGCGCTTCGTAGACACACATTCTGCCAGACGCCAAAGGCCCCTGACTCTTCCACTTGTTTAGGCCACAGTCTTGCGCAAATGCCCGGAGGTGGAATCACCCGACAATGAGCAAACTGCTTCTTTAGGCCCAGGTGGGATCCAAGCATTCTAAAGACACAACACACATACTTCTCCCCCACGTCCTCCTCCTCCTCCTCCTACTCCTCCCCATAACGAGTCGTAATGCTACTAGTGCTATCTATACGTGCAGCAGGAAGAGAATCACCGGACGAGTCATGTGCTACACGTAGTCGCAAATGGTTAAAGCAGAGGCAGCCAGCGAATCCCCTCAGCCAATCCACCAGACGACACCCAAAAGCACAAGGTCTCGATCTTCTTCCAGGGCGACCGTAGCAATCCAATCCTCTTCGGCGAGCTGAGTGGGCAGGCATCACAGTTGGCCGCAGAGCGGCCGTGCTGTCGTGGCTTTCAGGTTGTCTGGCTTCGGAGGTTGGGGTCGAGGACCATAAAAGGGCAGATGCATGATCCCTGCCAGTGCAAGAAAACTTCGAGTCTTCGTCTGGATGGTATTGGTCTTTCATCTGTGGCGGTCAATCCCTTGACCCGCCACGACTGAATCCGGAAGCTGAGTGTGAATGACTCGCAGTTATCGTCCCAAGGCTAAAAGTGTTAATTCTCAAATGCCAAGCCTGCTCTACGCTCAGCTCCAAACCGTCGAAGCTTTCAACAGGTCATACCGGAATCGAGCACCTGGCGCATGGGCTCCTCAGATCCTATGAGGAGGCAGACCGGGGCCGTCCAAGACGAGGGCTTGAAATGTACATGATTCCAAGGTCGCACGGTTGAAAGATTCTTAGCATCCTCTCACACCCGACGATGCAGAAGTAGTACGTGGAGGTGTCGACGACGTCGCATAGCCTCTTGCAGCTAGCGCCAAGGTACGGGACGATCGTAGGACTCCGGGCCTTCGAACTCTGCTGGATGTCGTGATCGGCCCCGTGCGCCCTTGGGCCAGCTCTAAAGCCCTCGAGGTCGAAATCCAACTCGTTAAACTGAGCTTCAACTTACAGGTCCATGGGTGGTTATAAGTGGGGTTATAAGTTCCCTAATATAGGTTATAGTTATGGTCACCTTACTTCTAACCCCACTTAAACCTACCCATGGGCCTCCAAGAAGACCTTAAACCCGAGACCCAAAGCTTCTCCGCAGGCGGCAAGTTGCCGGAGTCCCTCGGTCGGTAGATGGACGGTGGCAGAGAGTGGGGGTTTTTGGTTTCGGGCGCTTCTTCCGGGAGCCCGGATCGGAAAGGACCTATTCTTGAGGGTCTGAGTCACTGTTACTTGTCGCGGACCTTGGACACTTGGAGGGATTTTGAGAAGACATGGTTCGGGAAGACGTTTGATAGTTCCAGTTCCGCTATAATGTGGTAGCCAGAATATGAGATCGAGTCTTCGGCCTGGCGAAGCAGCATATATGTTGAAGCTCTGGCTTCAGGGGTTCAGGGTCCTACTGGAAGTTTCATAGGGTTGAAGCAGCGGGCAGCTCGAGTTTGACGTATATTGGTGCAGCGAGCCATCCATACGGATAATGACGCTGTCTAGAAGTCTGTAGACATGTTCAGGCTTACAAGAGATTTGGAGCATCAGCAACAGCAGAAACAAGGGCAAGGTTCAAGGAAGTAACAACACAATCGGCAGTCGTCGTAGGCAGGAATTTTTTGTAGTATCAGTATTACTATTCATATTATTATTAGTAGTGGTGGTGGTGGTAGTAGTAGTAGCAGCAGTAGCAGTAGTAGTAGTAGCAGCAGTAGGAGGAGGAGGAGGAGGAGCAACAGCAGCCGCGGCAGCAGCAGCAGCAGCAGCAGCAGCAGCAGCAGCAGCAGCAGCAGCAGCGGCACCAGCAGCAGTAGCGGCAGTAGTCGTCCTCGTCCTCGTGGTCGTGGTCGTCCTGGTAGTGAGACTTATTAGCTGTAAACTCAACTTTTCAACTTTTGGGGGTCTTACAAGGTAGTCGATTCTGAAAGTTTCAACTTTTATTCCCTTGGGTTTTGGGCCAGTGAGGAGAAGGATAGGACAGTGCCACTATCTCAGGACAGGTACAGCCCCTGCCTCGTGGTGAAGCTGACCAAGGCGTCCCGCCATCCCGGTGCCTGGATGAAAAATCAGGTTGAAAGGATCGAGGCCACTTGGAACTTCCGAAGGGGCCGTTTCGGCTAGACTCCTGAACGAGTGTGCTGGGCTTCTCTTCGGCGGGAGGTTTTGCGATGCAAGGCCCGTGGTACACGCTTGAAGACCAAACTTGGAAATGCCAAGTACCACTGGTAGGCCTTCTACACTGCGCTATAATCAGAATTATTGGGGGAGATTTTGTAATGAGCTGGTGCCCATTGTCTTGATCCAACAATCTAGGGTTTTCGCTCAGCGCGATTCTCGGTGTTCAGCTACCATACAAAGCACTGCTTTCCAAAGCCAAGATGTCTGGAAGACGGTGTTCAAGGAGACCTGGCAGCACAAGCTGATGGTCAAGGAGCCCCGCTCTTGGCACATCGTCCCAAGTCCAGGGCCCAACAAATTTGGCAGCTAGCCAACCCTCACTTCCGAACGGGTTCCATGGCAACCAGACCCAAAGCCGACAGGAGCTCGGGCCTTTCGGCCCGGAGCACTTTGAAGGGATGAGTGGCGGGAAGACCTATCTACGCGCAGGAGCGTGGGTCAAGGGCAGTTTGTGGCTTCGGGGCGGTTAGCGTGGGTCAGCATGTGGGATGCCGGGGCGCTGATATCTGATAAAGAAAACGACCCACTGCTGTAATTACCAAGCATCCGAAGCAGGCTACAACCTGGATGAGCCAGACTTTTGGGCCAACGTAGCCCGGCGGAAAGAAGAAGCTTGCTTCCGGTTTTTCAGGGCTGTTCTTCAACCTGACCTGGAAATGCAGGAGCCGTGTTTGCGCGTTTCTGGTGTTGCGCCTATTTTTTCGTTCTTCGGGCAAGTTGCTTCGGAAATTCATTCTATGCAAAAGGGGGCTCCTTCACGAGACTCTAGCTTAAGGCTTAGCTTTGGCACATGAAGGCGGAAGTCCGGCAGAGCTCGAACCCTGTGCAGGCCCGATGTTCCGTTCAGCTGGTGCCCCACAGTGTCTTGCAGAGCCCATCTCCACACTGAACCAGCTGAACTTTCTTCCCTCACCTGCTTGTAAGGTGGACAACTATGCCTTCACAACGATGAAGCAGTCCGGTTACACCTCGGCGCCCAAGAAGCTCGTAGCGTAGCACTCGCTGAGCGCCACGTGCGCTGAGCACCCTCCGAGCTCAGAAAGGCAGCTGAAGAAATCTTAGGCAGTGTTGAACTCCTCGACCTGCAGCCCGAACCCCAAAGAAGCCAAACTTGGGATGGATAAACTGCCGAGAGTCAGTCACATATGCGACCCTCAGCTTGAAGCCAAAGTAGAGGAGCACGCACCTGAACCTTTCTAGTCCGTACATCCTTGATGCTGGAGCTATACGAGGATTCCCGATTTCCTGCAGCCCTCATCGCTTCGACTGCAATGCATTGCTTGTTCTTGGTACATTCGTTGGGCCTCAATTCTAAAATTGAAGGCTCACTGCCTTCGGGGCCCGGGGGCAAAGAGATCAGCTGCTGTCCGAGGACGAGCATCTGGGAAACCACTCTCCGAAGTCCCATCCGGTTGTGGAATGATCTCGTCATGGCAGAATAGGAGTGCTGCAGCAGTACTAATGCGCCGGCTGCTAGCAGTAGGAGATGCCATGGCATTCAGGTTCATAGTTCTCCTCTGCATCTTTGCACGACTATGAAACCCCGAGCCCAAGCTTCGTCTTCGGATGGCGGTGGCGAACTTCGACACTCGCTTGTCTTCCGGGCTGCTCAGGAAAAGAGAGCGTGGGGCTTGAGGGCTCTGAGTGAAGTCCGGGGTGATAGTTTCGGAGTTAGGGGTTCTAAGGCCTGTGACGAATCCAAGAATGGCATTGTTTCATTCTTGATTTGTGAGGTCAGAGTGATAGCATGTTTAACCTCCCGAGGTTCAGTCGTTGTAGGGCGAGGAGAGTACCATGATCATTGATATCATGGCTGAACGCATGCTTCCGAATACTGCATGCCTTCAGCCTGACAAGCGCAGAGCTTTCTTCAGCTTTCGGTCTCGATCGGCCCGAGCTTGGCAGTATTTGCTGCAGCCTCCAACGCAGACCTGGAAGTAAGAGGACAGAAAGAATGTGACATCTTAGCACATGAATGCGTATGAGACGTTTAGACGCAACCCCTCATATCTCTCTCTGCTCTGGCCTCGTTTACAACCCTCAGCTTACCGTGCAAGCCTTTGTGCGTCACCAATCAGCCCTGCACATCCAGAAATGCGAATTTACGTGGTGGATCCTTATACAGTCCTCAAGTAAGGACCCCTCATATCCGGAAGACAAGCCCCGCTGCCGAGGACCGGGTAGTTCTGAAAGCCGCCGCCGTCTTCCGCGGAAAGCTCCGCGGCCGCGGTGCGAAGGCATTTTCCAGGGAGCTTTGCCTTGAGCTGTTCTGCGGCTTTGAAAGTCGTAGAAATGGGGGGGGGAGCTCGAAATTGGACAAGACAAGCTGCTTTCCTTTGCTTAATCCCTGGACCCCTTCATCGTTAGCCAGTCGAGGGAGTGGGCATCAGCGCCGCAGATTTTTGAGGCTTCCAGACTCTCTTGGTGAATTTCGAAGTCGAAAGAGGGGACTTGCTCTTGTGGTCTTGGATTCTTCAGGAGTCTGCGGGTTTTGGGAAGAAGGTAGGGTTGAGATGTTCTTGGCCAATATTCAGGGCTTCAGCTTTGTTTGGGCCTTCTCAGGGCTTCAGGTTTGATGCAGCAGGGTTGTTTTTCAGATAGAATATTGAATTTAAGGGCTCATCAAGGATTTCCGGGGTTGAAAGTTCTTGCAGTTCAATCGATGCCCTTACTCTTGGTATCGCCCGTCTGTAAACAAGGAAGTCTCTCGGCAATTTCTGCTCCGGTCAGAAATGCGACTCTACCTCTGACTCTTCTTTTGTTGGCGGCTTAGCTTTCGCCTCCATCGCCTCGGGAGTTGAGGCCTTTCCAGAGCATTTGGGCTGCGCAGGTTTTTGAATTCTGCTCATATCAGCTCGACTCAACGCCTCAACCCCAAAACCCTAAGCCGAAGATTGGCAGCCAGGAGCCGGCAGACGATCACGGGGATCCAACCAGGCGAACCGAGGTTGATTGGAGGCTGTAAGGTTTGGCTTGATCGTACGAGGTTTCAAGGGCGCTTTGGAGGTGGTTTCGGGGCTTCACGACTTCATCACTATACGTGGCGTGGCAGTTGCTTTTGGCCTCTGGCTGCCTGCATCAGAACGCAATGCGAAAGTTGCCACCATCGCATGTATTCTAGAGGTGAAGGTTGCTTTTGCCCTTGCAAAGCTTTGCAGCAGCCTGAGCACGAGGGCTGAGGCTTTGTCGACCAGCCATCATGGCGCGGCCTTTCCTCGCCTATGTTCTTTCTTATACACTCGAGGCTTCAACACCGCAGGCTCGACCTGAAACCCCTCCACATTCCTGCGTACAAGTTTTGGTCGGGCTAATCTGCTAATCTGCTAATCCATCACGTACTCCATTGCGCAAGCGTGATGTGGGTAGACTTTAACAACACCTTTGATTGGCTTACATGGAGGTCCACAACCAGCTTTGAGTCCGGCCCGGGCAGCCCGACGCCCTAAGCTCAGCGATTTTGTCTGTTTGGGACGGTCTGGGATTGCAGGCTTTAAACGGGCTTAGGGTTGGAGTCTAAGGGACAGCGTCTAGGCTACCGGGCTGACGGTTCGAGATTTGCGGTTGGGTTCATTACTGAGGGTGCTTTTGGCTCATGCTTCGGATTTCGGGCTGCCCCCCGCTCTTTTAGACTCCGTTATGATGTCTCAGGCAGAGCATCATATGGAATAACTTGTCTATTTAGTTTAACATCTCACACCGAGCCTAGGAATTGACTTCGGCGTGTGCCCTGTCTTGCAGAAAAGGTGAGGCCCTCTGCTCAAGTTTCTTGCAAGGCTCGTAAACGGACTCTCCTGGGCCCTGTGCCCTGAATTCGTGAGGCCAGTCCGTTTGTGGCCAGATGAAATAGCGGATCATCTCATGTCATATATGAAGCAAGACGGTCGGTTTGAAGTTTCTTACGTCCCAAAGTCTGAAAGCTTAAAAAATCTTCACCCTGCGGCTGTCAACCTTCCCCAGCCCAGACATGTCCACACCCGACCGAGGTCTGCGCGCATGGGCCAGGCTGCTGGGCTCCGGATCCTGGCCCGGCGCCTAAAGGTCTGGGGCAGAGCCGTGGTTAGGACCCAGCTTGATCTACAGAGGTCACGAAAGTCGTTCTTGAAGAAAGACGTCTGACTCAATAAGGATTTGGATGAAGAGGAAAGCTTTACTTGAGAGATGCGAAGTGGCCCCATGCCGTTCTCATATGCACTGATTGCCATGATCGTGCCTGATATATACATCGTTGTTCGTCTTCTTGGCCATTGGTCGTGGTGCTGCTGCTACTGCTGCTGGTGATTGTGGTGCTGCTGCTGCTGCTGCTGCTGCTGCTGCTGAGTGTGCTCATTGTACTTGGTCTGTTGTTAATGTGTCTCCTCTGTTCTGGTGATTTTGGTGGGTTTCGGGGAGGTGAAGCTCACGCCCCAGAGATCTCAAGGCTACGGAGATGTAGAGCACTGCTTTTTCTGTGTGGGTGCAGGTTCAGGAGGACAGGTGGGTGAGGGTTGTTTCTGGACCGAGTGCAGTTAGGATACCAACGAGAATCTTTTGGAGCTTCAACTTCTGATCAAAACTTGGTTTAGGTCTGAGTCCATTCCTCTGTCCAAGGACCACGATCATGTCGTGTGGGTCGGCGACACGAACTCAAGGTGGGCCAGAGCTGAAAATAAACGCAACGCGAGCAGATGTCAACAATCTCAGAGCGTCGGGTCCAGAGCTCTGTGGCTTTATATTGTACAAGTTTCGTGTTCGTTCTCCGGGTTCAATCTTGTCGGGTTGGGAGTAGGGCCTACTGTCGGGTCCAGCTCCCCTTCCTTGGTGGACTGAGTCTCTGTCGGAAACGAGTTGCCTCGCATAGTATCCCCAGCCTCCCGGAAAACTTAACTCCTGGGCGGAGGATCGGAGGCTAGAACGCATCCGCACCACAGAACCCTTGTAAGCGCCAGGCTTCATTGGCCTGGCAAGCTGGGCGGCATGCCGCTCCTCCAGGCCTTGCTTTTCACTTTCTGTTGGTTTTGGGGCTTTCTGGACGTACACAGGCTGTTGAGGTTGGGATTTCCTTCTTGGTGCAGGCTGTTGAGGGTTCAGGCTCAGAGTACATCAGAAATTGGTAGTGCTCGATCTGACTTTGTCGAATGTCAGGTTCAGGTCTTTACATGTCACGATGTGGTATTTGCAAGTTTCATGGGCTGCGGGGATTGAAGGAAGAGTCAGAGCTGGACCAATAATCGGACTGGAGCAGTTGGACGATGACATTCCCTTCGGTTCAGTTGCGAGGAGAGTTTTTGTCCACCTGGCTTGCAAAGGCCCGGCAGAACATCCTGGACAAGCGCTATGGAGAGCTCCTGGCGTTGGACCAGCTGCCCAGCTGCAGTTTCATCACTGGGTTCTCCGAAGTGGTAAAAGAAGTTCTTCGAGCCTGGCGGGATTCGTTGCCACAGTACTATCGCTGGAATTGTTGCCTTTACAGAACAGCTTCTATTGTCTCCGCTTGCGCAGGGATCCTGAACAGATGGACAGCGGTACCCAGCAAGAGTATGGGATCCTGAGCTTGAACTCCACATTCTTGAGGGTGTAGAGGGAAAGTGGCAGCAGTACAAGTGCTGTGTTCTATGGTCTCTGTTGTCACGGCAGCTTGCCTTCAATCCCACATCGTCCAAGCAAAAAACCGCCGAACCCAGAGCTCTGAGACCAAACGGCAAACATCAATCGCGGGACACTCTGCCACCTAGCATCGCCACAGCCTTCGTGCATCAATCTGCAACCTCAACACCTGCAGGGTGAGGGCTTGAAGGCTAAAGGTTGATGATGGTTGATGTCATGCAGCGCCCTTCGACAAACTGCTCCAGCAGAGGATGTTTCCAAGAACGGCGAACATCTGCAGCTTGAGGTGGACCTGGCCTATCTCTTCATTACGTTTGGTGTGCATTGCAAGGTCGAGTTCAGGTGACATTTCAAAAAGCACTCGGGATCATGATGCAGCTTCGCACGAAGATTCGCTTGAACTTATCTTGGAGAAGAACAGACAGCTGCGATCAAATCTTAAATCTCTCCGTTGGCCTCGCTTAACGCACTTTCAAGCATACGGACAGAGGTTTCCGTTGCCTTGGCGCAGCAGAGACAAGCTTGGCATCGCCGATTTGCCCAAGCCCACTCCGCGTCAACTCGCCTATTTGTCTGGCTTCTTTGACGGTGATGGGTCTGTCTATCGCAATTATGGCTCATGCAGGCTGACAATCGGCCAGTCATGCGATGGAGCTCAAACCCTCATGGAGTTTGGAGCAGCTTTTGGTGGCAACATCTATCGAAAGAGTGATGGGCTTGGCCTTGTTAAGCCATGCTTACAGTGGTCTCTGACCGGGCATGCAGCGCGATCTGCTGCACGCCTGCTATGCCCAAACAGTATTGTCAAAAGAAAACAGCTTCAGATAGCCAGCGAGTGGCCACAGCAACCAGCTGACATGGATTGTTTGGCGAAGGAACTCAGGTCCTTGAAGCAATACGATTCTGCGTTATCCAGCATCCCTAGCTGGGAATATTTCACCGGCTTCTTCGATGCGGAAGGATGCATTTGTACGCACGCACTGGGAGGGATTTGGTTGGACATATCCCAGAAGCATGTGACAGTGCTCCAGTGTTTGCAGAGGTTCCTGTCATGTGAGATGGGGATTGATGCATCACTTTATAAGCATTCGACTCGACAGATGTGCAGTTTGCGAGTCACTAAAACATCAGCTTGCAAGCAAATCATGGCGAGAATGCTGGAATGCGGCATGACACGAAAAACAGAGCAAGCCGAGCTTGCTTTGGAGCTCACGCCATCGAGCTCGGTACAGGTGCATGCATCCATGGCTGTTCTAGCCGGCAATCAGCAATTTGGAAGGAGGCTGGATCAGTATGGCAGAAACAGGGCCGCCGAAATCAAGAACTTGCAGACGCGCGAAAGACGAGCGAGAGAACTCGGCCAACTGCCGAAGGCTGATGCATTGACTGAAGAGCTTGCGAGACGCAAGCGTGAGCATGCCCTGCTCAAGGCACAGAATGAGAATGCCCAACTCCAAGACCACATCCATAACTTGCTGACCTTGCGCGGAGCACCGGCCGAGTCAGACAGAGATGACGGTGCTGAGGTAACAAATTCTGAAAAGGCTGCCTTTCCACACGAAGCCCATGCCGAAATTTTTGATCTCTAATGCAGATGCCCAGACCCCGCGACTTGCCGAGCATCCGGGAATTTACATAGCCCCACATGTCTGTGGTTGAAGCACCACCGTCAAATCTTTGCTACAAGCTTCCGTGCCACCTCCACCCCTGCAAGCCCGAATCGTGGTGAACTTACCTGAACCCGATCTATTGACCCGCCTGCAGCTAATTCTAACCCTTCGAGGCTGAACCTCATGCGCCGGGATGGAATGGCTTTTCACGACTTCGAGGCCGGGGGTCTGCGTCAACTCTCTGTCTTCGGGTTGATGAGGTTGTCGGTAGATTCCGTCAGTTTCGAGCTTCCGGTCTTTGGTCGTGTCATGAGGCTTGTTTTCGGAATGCCTTCAGGAGGGTGCAGTCGAGCTCTGGTGTCCACTTGTTCCGAGATGTACTTGTTGTGTTTTGGTGGGATGGCGACTTCGTGTATGTGGTTCCACGAGGTTAGCGAAACCCTGTGTTTTCGGGTGGCAAACCAGTCGGCTTGATCTGTTCTGCTAGTCATCACTGTCTGTCGCCCAAGAACGGCAATTGTCTTTTCAATCCATCCCCCTGCCTCTTGACAATGTACAACTGGCAAAGCTGATCGCAAGGAGCATCGAATATGCTTTCTGCCGTCCTACAAGTGGCATCCCGACCGCGATGCCTACGACATTCGATCGCAGAAGCATGTGCCCGTCCGGCGGCCAAGACACGTTTTGCGTTCAGCAGTTTGTCACCAGACTAGTAGGGCCACACATGAAAGTTCTGATCATCCTTGCCCAAATCACACATTCTATACATTTTCGGATGTTGGCGGCTTATTCTGGACGTCTTGCCCGCAGCTGGGCCCAAGCCGCCCTTGAGGCCCTGTCCTAGGGTCAGGGAGGGCCCCGGGCCTTCCTCGGCTCCCCCGAAATGCAGTGGAGCCTGTGGCTGCTTGCATGCGCCTGTTCAGGCCGGAGATTCGCTCATGTTTTGAGTGCTCTTACTTGCATTTAGGGTTGAGGGTTTAGGGTTTAGGGTTTAGGGTTCAATTCTGGGTGGCTTGTGTAGCTGCTGTTCATTCGACTTCAGACCCTGCTGGATCGTGCTGGGATCTAAGTTGGCATTCTCAGGCGTCACAGTCCGCGCTGTTGGCGCGTTCGCCTCTACTTAAACGGTCGTGGCTCAAGATCACGATGTGAATCTCGCAATCGCTAGGACAACACGCAAATCTGTAGAATTGACTTTAGATGAGGTTCTTCTGTCTGGCACAGCAGCGTGTTGAAGTAACAAGTGTACGACTGACGGGTCCAGTCTGGCCTGCACCATTTCGCATGAACGCCGCGAACATGTTGGATTGGCAGCCGCCTGTGCAGAGGCGAATGCGCGTGTTTGACTCATGCACTTCGCAGGCATGGGGTCAATGTCGCGGGAAGTGGCAAGCTCCGGGCCGTCCACGAGCTGGATCGTCCATCCTCTGCAGCTCTGCAGCCTCGTGGGTAGTTCCTGGATGGGTATGCATCAGCAGTTTTAGTGACTTGAGAAACTAACTGCATCATTGTATCCCCATCGAAACTTTCAATGGCAGAAGGCTCTCTTCTTTTGTGGCTGAGGTCCTGGCATCCGTATTTGGCAATTGTCGCGGCAAACGTTGCAGGTGCAAATCGGACGCATCACCGAGTCCTGCCGTGGGAGCCACCAAGCTGCTTGTGGATGCAGATGCCCATAGTGTTGAAGATGTCGAGGATGCCATCAAGCAGCTGGAGCAGACTGGCACAAGGGTACACACAACGGTTTTCGCACCACCTAGTCGCGACAAACAAAAGAACTGGATGCAATTGCTCCAACGTCCTACGGTGACCTTTCGCCCCGTCGACCCCAACTCGAGCAGAGTTGGAGAAGCCACCGATGGTGTGATAAAATGTACTTTGAATACTTGCAACGACGCCCAAAGTTTGGCTCTCCTCACGTCCGACTACGATTTCATAGATGCGATTCAGCAAGCAATGGACCGTGGCAGGCCGATAATTGTCTTTGTACCATCGAAAAAACGTATAGTTATCGAGCGCTACCAGAGTGCAGGGGTGCAGGTCCAAGAAGTGAAGCCCCGCGTATCCATCTTCCCAAAAGTCCGTGCAATCTTACGTTCAGATGGCAGTGGGCATGTGCAACTGGGTAAATTCTGGTGCACAAACGAGTTGGGTTCCATCACCGTGTTTCCTCTGCAGATTGGCATCAAACAGGTCTGCCAGCAAATGCAAAACCATGGTAACAGAAAGTGGCGGCGTTACGTCAACAACCTGGCATTTTTCCTTCCCAAATCCACACATGGAGCAAGGCTGAATAAGACTCAGACCGTCAAGTTTGGCACAGGCATCTCCAAGGCTCTCTTCATGGGTGGTGGCCCATTCCTGCTGAAAGATTCCGCGAATCTGGTAGGCGAGGCTTTAAGAAGGCTAGGGTACATGGACGACGACTTGAACACAGACCTGCAGGAGGCCATGCTTATGTTTGTGAATGCCTCGAAAAATAAGTATAACCTGCGAAAGCCGTTGGATGCTCTTCCCTCCCCAACAGACACAGCCGCAGAGCTGGAGGATAAGCTCCGATACGCCTTTCTTTCGCACTCGACAGACGGACAGTGGTTGCCTGCCCCGAAAGATGGCTACATCCGGCAGCACCTGTGCAAGCAAGGTTTCTTGGCCGACGTGAAAGCAGCACGAAGGGAGGTCTTTCGAGCAATGGCCAAGTATGCAAGGCAACATCAGCTTCCCGAGATGAAGACCTACAACGGCTACGTGTTCCAGCTTCGTCGTCGTCGAGAATCCAGCTCAACCACGACTGCGACCATCCAGACCATGTCGTGAGGTGGCAGGGAGAGTTTTTGTAGGGTGCACGGTAGGGGTTGCTGACGAAGGAGTTGAGCTCATCGTGGGTGAACTTGAATCCACCTCCTCGAGCACACCTGTCGTCTTGGGCTCTAGTGCGGGCCATCCTTAAATGCATGGTCATGGTGCAAAGGGAGGTAAGCAACCCAGCATAGAAAGTGCAGTTTGGTTAATGTTAAGCACAAGCACTGTTCGTAATTTTCTTCTCAAGTCCGTGACCGTACGGAGGAAGCTGCACCTGCGTTTCCAGAGTGCGTGGCCAAGTCGCAGCACCTGGGGATCTGAATGCGAGCTCCTTCCCGAGCGATGAAGGTTTAATGGGGCTTGTATAGTTTTGCTGGGTTTCGTGTGGTTTTGGGGGACTTTATATGTGGACCGAAGACGTGACAACGCTCTAGGTGCAGGAATCAGGCTGCAGTACCTTGCCGCAACACAGTCCGACTACTTTTGGAGAAAGCACATCCGGGGGACCGTGCTGCCAGTCGGCCTGTTGCTGCGCTGCGCCGGGTCAAATTTTGTTTGTACTGGCATTGGTTGAATATTGCATTGACGTGTATGTTATGTAGTAAACGATGGCATGGAGCCCTGCATGTACACAGGTGTACACAGGGGAGTTTAGTCCCCAGGCAGATCTCAGGCCCGAAGTTTGGTCAAGCAGCGCGAGTGTTAGGCAATTGACTAGTTTGGTCAAGCTTGTTCTTCTGTCTTGAGCCCCTACCCCGTAAGGCTTCAAGCACATACCAACAATTGAAGCGATTAGTAGCGCATGTTGTCTGTAGGCATCACATTAGTTGAGAAGAACAGTCTCAAGCCGATTTGGAAGCTCGGGGGCTGGAAAGCTTTGGGATGAGGTGAGCGCAGAGTGTGAACCAAGCACAGCCCAACCCAAAACGTGCCACACCTTTCATATTTGTAACACTAATTTCCAAACTCCCCGTCTCATATTCCTCAACCCCATAAAGATGTAGTTTCGCTACGGGGTTCTAGTAGCAGCAACAATAGGAAAAAGTTTCAAATCATCTGAAGCCATGCAGGCGTGCTGGCCACGGGCTATGAGGCCGAAACCCGAGTTTTGCGAAGCCTTTGCCTGGAAGTCGACGTGATACTTTTGTGAATCGTCCTCTTTACGCTCGGCGCAAACGTGTCTTCCGTATGATGTAGTGCTTCATTGGCTTTTTGCCGCGAGTCCGCAACTCCAAATTACGGGGATACCCCGCCCCACCGTTTCTACGGTGCTCGCTAGCCTCAATCGTGCTCTAGAGCTGGGACCACCAGCATGTTGAGCATGATCAGGTATAAAGGAAGTTGACAGTTCTACTTCTGTTAGTGTTAGATATTTATAATATGTGTAATTGTTTGCATACATATATATATATATATGTATATACATACAGAGGAAAATGTGGATGCAGAACTGTGTTGCATGAAGTGCTGCCGGTACATACCAGGACTTCTTTTTTGTTCAGTGTGTCCAGGATTCGACGGCCGGCCGCGCGAAGGCCGAGGAGTCTGTGAGGCACTCGCGGGCGGTTCAGAGTCTTAGGGCAGTGTCTCTCTCGTGCATGTTGTCATCACGAACAGCATGAGTGTTGTAACATGAGCGAAGGGTTGAGGTTTCCAGGAGTGAGGTCTTAGAGTTGCAAAGACTCTTATAGAAGTTAAGCATGGCAACCTGATTTTCTCAACTGGCCCTCGAAGTTGACCTCGATTTCCGGTTAGCCCTTCGAATTTCCCGAGCCCGAAGCGAACCGCCACCGTTTCGTGAAGGAGGCTCCGTCCTGCGCTGATCAGGCACACGCCTGCCTCAAGGGGGCTTAGAGCTGAGAGTTTGAAGGAGCTTTTTGGGGTCGAGGCATTCAGGAGACGAGGCTTTCAGGGGGTGCGGTCTTGGAGCCGCCGGACTTCATTCGAAGGTCGACTTGTGAGCAGGAATGAGCCCGACCAAGATGAAATTGAGGAATTGCGAGGAGGGTCGCACGCCGTTCGCCTCCCAATCAATCAAGTTCTTCTTGCCGAGACAAAGTAGGTGCAACGAGCGTCCTCTCCTCATTCCGGAAGACCTTGCGATGTCGGCCCTAGTTATACGCCATCAGCGACAACGACACATCCGGAGATAGACACGACTTGTACGACCCACAGCACAGGGCCAATCCTCGACGAATTTCGCCGCCTCTGTGCAAGTCTTGGCCGAGGATTGTTGAAGCTCAGTCATGAAGCTCATGACTGAGCCCCACATTAACGACTGAGAAGCTCGAAGTCTCCTCTTTAGTGTCGTGCCGCAGGCTTGACAACACTGCCCTGTCTCCCTTGGCTGTGGAGGATCGCTGGGAGCAAACTTGGGCATTTGGACTGTTGAGATCTGGAGCTTGAGGTGTCCAGGCACATCCGCCGGAGCACCCTACGCCCCTAGAATCCCAGATTGGAATGCAGTCAGCTGAACCGCGTATTTTGAGTCATGTTACAAAGTCCAGTGGTTCGGCCCAAGTCCCCACTCCGTCATCTTAGTTTGACCGCTACGCGTAATACTATATGACACACTTCTTAAGACTGCATATATATATATATATATATATATATATATATATATATATATAGGTTATATATATACATATGCAACTATATGCATGTATCTGTTATGTATAATTATATAGAGAGCTTATAACAATAAATGAAAATCCATCTATATATATATATATATATATGTATATCGTCCACCGCAATCTTTTACAGTAGTCTTACTCTAGCTTGGTTTCCTGCTATTTCTCAGGTGGTACACCGGGTCGTCTTTTGCTGTTCAATGTTATGAATGCCATGCTTGCCTGTGCTTCTGAGAACCTATGACCCAAATAATCCACGGTAAAAATCAAAGTGGTCGCAGTCGCAGTCGCTGCTGGTGCTGGTGCTGGTGCGCTGCTGCGACTGCGACTGCGATTACAACTACAGCACCAGCACCAGCAGCAGCGCAGCTGCAGCAGCAGGAGCAGGAGCAGGAGCAGCAGTACGTGGCCGGATGTGGGGGGTGAGGGGGGGACCTTAAGGGGCGGGTGCATTTTGGGAAGTTGGGGTACCGGACGTTCTCCAGGATTTTGTAGGTTCGGTAGAAACACACATGGTAAAATCGCTTGAATCTAATTCGCCGTCGCCACGAAAAGTAGAGGATGGGTAGATACTAAGTCGAAACATCGAAGCCTCGGAAGATATGGAGACTCAAGCTCACATGTCCTGAAACCCTTTTCCACAGCAAGCCATTCCAACTTCCTCGTGCAAAAAGCTTCATTCCCGCACACGGCCGCAGGGGGGATCGCCTGCACCTGCTGCAGCACCTCCAGTGCCGGCGCCAGCGCCAGCAAAGCCTGCGCCAGCACCTGCGCCAGGTCCTGCGCCAGGTCCTGTGCCAGGTCCAGCACCAGGTGGGCTTTCGAAAGGATGGACCCAGTGTGAATCTACATGTAGCAGATCTTGAAACTCTTCTGCCCATGTATTCTTCTGTCATCTTGTCCCAAGTTCATCCTGAACTTGCGAAGAGAAGACCTCACGGACCAAACGCAGCACCCCGACAAACCCTACCACCTGCATTGAGGCCCAGCGCCAGCAAAGCCTGCGCCAGCACCAGCGCCAGCACCTGCGCAAGTGCTGGCTGCACCTGCGCCAGGACCTGCGCCAGCACCTGCGCCAGGTCCTGCACCAGGTCCTACACCAGGTCCGGCGCCAGGTCCTGCGCCAGGTCCTGTGCCGGGTCCTGCGCCGGGTCCTGTGCCAGGTCCAGCACCAGGTGGGCTTCGGAAAGGATGTGCTATATAGTAATATAGTGATCTAGTGACCAGGGTGAGTGTACGCGTAACAGATTGATTAGCAGATCTTGAGACTCCGTCGCCCATGTAATCATTCTTCTATCACAGTTCTCCAAGTTCATCCTGAAACCGCGATGAGAAGTCCAGCCTCACGATGTCACGAAATGCAATGACCCTTGCAACAAACCTATACAAACCTCACCTGCGTTGAGGCCCAGCTGCGCCTGCACCACTTGCAGCGCCGATGCCCGCACCAGCGCCTGCGCCAGCACCGGCACCAGGCGGGCTTGAGAACGAGAGGGGCCGGGAAAATGCACACGAACTGCACCAACCAAACCCCAAAACAATTAATTAATCCTGTTACCTGGACCCCAAAAGTATGTAGAATGATAGCCCTTATAGGGTTTTGGGCCCTTATTTAACTGCTTTTGGGGGTTTAGGTAAGTCCCGTCCTTCAAAGGAAAGGCCATGGAAGGCGCCGGAAGTTGAAGCGTCAAAGCCAAGCGTTGCAGTCCCACACGGTCCGACGAGGCCCCGCTGGCATGCCGAAGGAGGCTGAGCGGCTGAGCCCGAGGGGAGCTGTACAGAGTCCTCTTCAGCTCGTCTCGGGTCTTTTGGAGTAGTTTGGGATGTCGGATCCTTGCAAGACTGACGTAGTGCCCCAAGGCCTCTGAACCGGAGTTTTCCAACGTCTCAGACGTGGCATGAATGAATGCTGTACGCACCGAAGCACCTGCAGGTTTGGATGGGCTACCACCGCCTCTTCGCCCACGACTACTTCGAGCGCCCGGTGCTGAGAACACGGCGACAGCAAGCTGGCGAGGAGGGCTTGATCACTGCGATGGTGCATGGGTTGGAGGCTAAAGCTTTTGAAGCCCCTCTTGCTCCCACTAGTGCTTGTGAAGTGCTTGTCTTCGTGAAGTGGCATGTCTGGAGCCTCCCTGCTGTCGGAGGTTGGGGCCATTGGTCCACGGGAGGTCCCAGGGTGCTGCCGGGTGCCGGGCCAGGCAGATAGGGCCGGGATGTGGGGCTTAAGGCTTGGGGTTCTGGGTGGGTGATTTGTAGTTTACGGCCAAGGGCTTCGTCAGGTCCGGTGGTTTCTTTGGGAGGTCAGGCCTCCCCTCCAAATTCTTACCCTTGAGGCTGATAAGCGGGTTCAGTTCAAGGGCTTGTTCGATGGATTGTTGA